CCAAGGCGAATACCATGAATCCAAGGCGAATGCCATGAATCCAAGGCGAATGCGATTAATCCAAGTCGAATGCCATGAATCCAAGATGAATGCCATGAATCCAAGGTGAATACCATTTATCCAAGGCGAATGCCATGAATCCAAGGCGAATGCGATTAATCCAAGTCGAATGCCATGAACCCAAGGTGAATGCCATGAATCCAAGGTGAATACCATTTATCCAAGGCGAATGCCATGAATCCAAGGTGAATGCCATGAATCCAAGGCGAATACCATGAATCCAAGGCTAATACCATGAATCCAAGGCGAATGCCATGAATCCAAGGTGAATGCCATGAATCCAAGGCGAATGCCATGAATCCAAGGTGAATGCGATTAATCCAAGTCGAATGCCATGAATCCAAGGTGAATGCCATGAATCCAAGGTGAATACCATTAATCCAAGGCGAATAACATGAATCCAATGCGAATGCCATGAATCCAAGGTGAATGCCATGAATCCAAGGTGAATACCATTTATCCAAGGCGAATACCATGAATCCAAGGCGAATGCCATGAATCCAAGGCGAATGCCATGAATCCAAGGGGAATGCCATGAATCCAAGGCGAATGCCATGAATCCAAGGCGAATGCGATTAATCCAAGGCGAATGCCATGAATCCAAGGGGAATGCCATGAATCCAAGGGGAATGCGGGCAGACTAGGCGCCGGCCGATCGTTGAAATTGCGCAGCGCGACAAACCCCGGGAACCTGTTTTAACCCCTGCGACGGATAGTTTCGTTTGGGCGACGTTTTTTTAATCATCTGCTACCATTTTTCCAATTTGATTTTGGTCAGGCGTTTGTGATTAAGCATGCCATAAAGTTTTAAATCTGCTGAGTTCCCATGTTGTGTTTACTGGCCCTTTAAACAAAGTTACATTATAAATTGAAATAAAATTGAATGTGTAAACTGTTCTCTCACGATTTGCACGTGTTTTCGAATCCTGAACAGTTGTATCACGGGGGAACATTTTGATCACCTGGATTTTATTCCACAAAGACGCGGTCTCCAGCTCATCCATAAAATAAGCACCTAAGAAGTACCATGACCAAGCAACGTTTTAACAACATCATGCTCTTGCACATTCACAAGGAGGACACTGATGACATATACCTCATGGACAATACCAAGGCACTTGCACATGCAAACCCGAGACACGGTACCTTCTTTGGTGGCTATGTATAGGATCGGTCCTACCTAACCCACAATGCGATGAAGCAAGGCATGTGAATATGGAAGAAAATATTTTGTTAGATTTCAGCTATAAAACCACCTAAGAGACGTCTCTAATTGTTTTACATTTAAAAGAAAGGTGTATCAGTATTAAACAGCTTGAACACACCTAAGTCAATACTTTCCTTTATGGTGACTATGCTTGTCGTAAGTGGCGACTAACGAGATCGGGTGGTCAGGCTCGCTGACGTGGTTGATGCATGTCATCGTATCCTAATTGCGTGGATCGATGCTCATGATGACAATCACTGGGTTGTCTGGTCCAGACTCGATTATTTACAATTAATCCAAGGCGAATGCGATGAATCCAAGGTGAAAGCGGGCGGTCTAGGCTTGGCTGCAAAGTTTGTGTATAATGATGTCATGAACATACTTCAAACATTGTCTAAGATATGTGTTTGTGTTTTACTTAGAATGTCTAAATTATTTTTGCAAAGTGGCTGTCCATACGTATTTAGAATCTACCGAAATGAGACGATTTGGTCCATAAGATAATACAATAACTGAATTATATTTTCACCGGACACATACACACGCACGCACGCACGCACGCACGCACGCACGCACGCACGCACGCACACACACACACACACACCGGTTGTCGACAAAAACATACTAATGGCTCTCTCAAACAGAAAACATGGGCCGTCATATAGCTGGAATATTGCTGAGTGCGGCGTTAAACAACAAACAGACAGACGAAGTAAAAAAGAATAAGCCCCAATCCCTAAGTCACAAATATCTTTTTTTGCTGAATGGAACTGAAAACTGAAATAATTTTGGAAATGCTCATCCTAATCTTGAATATCAAAATCACTTTTAAAATCTTGGTTTGGTTTAAGGCCTCTTAACGTGGAACCAAAATGTTTTAGAATTATCAATACATTATTACAACATTTCCTGTTTCAACTGCGGGGATTTTGCTCAGGAAATTAGCATTACGATATCTTGGGTGATGGTTGTTGAGACAGACCTTACATAGCAATGGTAAATACCCAAATGTGAAGTTGGACAAACGAACATTGATGTCAATGATTAAGCATTTGTATTTTATGTGTAATTGAAATTTACTTTTTGACTGAGTGACGCATTAACGGGATCCGGAGTCCAATAGCGACCAGTGAGGCTCGGTTAAATCATTAAACTACGTCTAAAACCAAAGCGCTAAATAACAGCAAGTAAATGTTAACATTTTATCAGTCTAACTTGATGAGAGTAATGCAAACAGTGCTCAGATGTGATCACTAATGCTGTCAATGTCATACCCTGACAGGAAAGGAATTGTTATCACGCATCACTGTTAACAGCATTGGTGCCATCATATGTGTTTAGTCCATTATCCTGATTAACCGATACCAAGCACTAATGATTTTCATGCCGACATCAACATGATCAAACGCAATCGAATTTTGTTGGTTCAGTTTCTAAAATGAAAGAATATAATGTACCCATTGATTTCCAATACCAGTCTCGCCATTACCTAATCCTGCAGCTAGAAATAGGCTTGAAATACAGTGCTTCACGGACACCAACCTTCCCGAGGCAAGGGAGTTAACAGAAAGTAGACTTTTATAGTCAGTTACCTCCCTTGCCGCGGGAAGATGGGTACACTAGATATCAGCACTATTTGGTAGTGATTAAAACGGAATTGTACAATAGACCCTGCTTTTTGCCGAGATGTCTTATGATAATAGAAATGTTTTGTCACTTTTATTTTGATCATGTAAGTAAGCAATAATACATTTGTGTAAATATCTCGAGTATCATTTTGTTTATTTCTAGCTCTATTTAGTCATGCAATATAATGCATACAATTACTCAATGTCTCCTCCATCACGTCTATTGTCCTCTCTGTCACAAGACAACTCGATGACTTTCTTAAGGTGGGGGCACGGGTGGCCCAGTTGTCTTAAGCGCCGCGATTCGCTGTGCAGAGTTGCGTCCCTTGGGCACGCCAGAAACCTAGGATTGTGGGTTCGAATCACGGTTCGCCCCGATTATGTTTCTAGGTGTGTCAGCACCATACCCGTGCTCGTGGGTTTCACCGAAGTGGTAAACGTCTGACACCTGCATCACTTCGGGCTTTGCTCCCACATTAAGCTGACACGCCGTGATAAAACTCGTATACTGTTAAAAGCGGCGTTAAACCCAAATCACTCACTTTAGGTACAGTTGACAAAATGTTCACCAAATGTTCGGGGTCGTGTGGCAATATAATGCAAGAAATAAGTAAGGTTCAATACTCACATCTGGGTTGTTTGTTTGAATAAAGTATTTACCATCAAATAGTCAAATTGTATAACTGTTCGATAAACAGGTTTGATTTTAACCATATGAAGACACGACATTTGCTCCATTCTCATGACTCATATAAGATATTAATTCCAAGTTGCTACCTGGTCGCATTTTTATTGATTTGTCATTTCTACAACAACATATCCTCCCAACCTTTCCAGTTTTGTAATAAGTGTAAGTTGCACTCCGGGTTAGATGTAAATAATTAGGACGTACTAATTAAGTGGAATTAAAAGTGACCTGATTCTATATGAAATATATTAGTATGTTTAAACTATTGTTAAATACGATGAGTGAGTGAGTATGGTTTTACGCCGCTTTTAGCAATATTCCGGCGGGGGACGCCTTAAATTGGCTTCACACATTGTACCCATGTCGGGAATCGAACCCGGGTCTTCGGCGTGACGGGCGAACGCTTTAACCACTAGGCTACCCGACCGCCCCTTAAATATGATGAGATGAGGTGAGGTGTAAAGTTATTGCACTGCGATACGTGTGTGTGTGTGTGTGTGTGTGTGTGTGTGTGTGTGTGTGTGTGTGTGTGTGTGTGTGTGGCTGCTTGTACTAGGCCGGACTAATGCCAATTTTACAGTGCTAGCCCACTCAGATACCAAGCTGCAGTTTAAACATGAATACCCAACTCAGAAACAATATACTAACTCCGAGCCGACCAGTCCTTGTTTTAGCCCCTTAATGCCGAGCACCAGGCAGAGTATAAACAAGTACCATCTTTAACGTATGACGCCACCGGGGATCGAACCCATGATCGTCCGCACTCCGGACTGACGCTCTATCCACTAAACCACGGAGGCAGTCCTATTTAAATGAATGTAAACAACTGTGTCAAATGTGTGTTAGTGTGGGCGCAGATAGCAGCCAATCACCCTGGATTAATTGGTTTTCTGGAATTAGAGACAAGAAACAGTGGACTTGCAAGTGTGTAGGTAGATCTCGGGGCTGTGTATAGAAGGTCACACCTGACACAACACAACTGGTCTGACTGACGAGGGATTATAAAGATGTCGTTTAATAAATAGCGTTAGAGAAGGGGTCAAGGTCCGAACCACATAGCCGTCACTAGACAGTAATTCAGTTGATGAATCACGGATTTGATAAATTATATCCAGGCGGGAAACTAGAACCGAGCCATGCAGAAGTCACTAGATAGTAGTTTAGTTGATGAATCACGGAAATGCACAGGTGTGGGATATATTGGAGATCTAAAGCGGGGGACAAAAGTCGGGGAGAACTGTTTTCGTGTCACTACAAGCTAAGGTCGGAAAAGTCGCTGTGATCCCAGATTTCTTCCAGTACGTTTGTGAAGTATCTGTTCGCTGCATCAAGGAAGCCGTTTGAATAAATAGTCATCGTAATGAATTCCAAGACATTTGTTCCTTCTGGCTCTTCTCGTGGAGGTTAAGTTCAAACAAAGAATCCGGTCACAACCGGAGGTGATCATAACACTGTTTTCTGGAACCGAGGCCCGAATTTGGAAAGCCGAAAAGTTCAGCCTGGAGCACCCCAGGAACTGACAACTGTCTCAAACGGGTAACCATCTCAAGGTAAGTTCTACCCGAATTAGAAAATTGTGTTTTGCTGGCTATAGTTATAGTGTACATTTAGGTTGAATAGGAAATAAGAAACTAAAAGACAGAGTGTAGGGAATGAACCGACAGTGTGTTGTATCAGTACAATTAGCAAAACGTATAGCCAAAGTCTGCCCCTTTAATTTTTTTAAACATAGCGCAACAACCGTCGCCCGCATTGAAAACGTGGATAGGTTAAAAAAAAACTGGAAGGGAAAGAAAGAGCGAGGAATGCACCCGTCTATATTAGAAAGGAATACTTTACCCTCATACTTTACCCGCGTGAGGGAAAGTAGCTAGGAATGGGGGGAAATCGAACTAAGAACGATCAAACAACTGGCAAAGCGTTGTTGATGGTTAGGAGAAATTAAGACAAAGTAAAGAAAGAAAAATAATATATTTTTAGAATCAAAATCCTCCAAATCCATTGGTTATTAAACTCCTGGCTATCGCTAATCACCAATCAGTGCTAATTAACTGTTATCTTCCCTTGTTAAGTTTTCACTTTTGTTATCTTATTACTTTTGTTGTTCTCACATGTACAAATATATGCTGTCATCATCCAAGCATTCATTCACCTGATGAAGCAGTAAGCATATAACGTTTCGTTCCTCATAATAAGAAGTTGACATTCGTAAGATCTCTCTCTTATGTATATCACTTAATTCTAAATGCCATTTAAAAACTTGTCTGGAAACTTTCACACCCCATCTATGTCGGTAGTTTCTTCATAACTGTAACGTAATTAATGTTAAAATTAGCCCTTGTAAGGTAATACTTATTATTAATAAAAGCGACAAACCCCTTTTTCCATATTCATAAGAAATTCCGATTTCGACTAAATCTTCAGCACGTGTTTATGAATCACTATCACCAGTTATTTTTCAAGTTTGAACAACAAACAAAACGCCTTCTAGTCGTACTGGCATCATTTAATCATATATAGCCCATGAATATATCTGTTTTGGGTGATACCATTTATAATTGAAGCTGGTTTTTCGTAAGAACTGTTTTAACAAAAAGCCCACAGCTCCATGAAAATACATTTTATATATGTGATGACTAGGATATGAAGTAAAGCATGTACATGACATAATGTTACTTGAAATTATGTGAAGAATTATTATGGAATGTGTAGCGGCAGATTTCCACCTTGTTTATATAGGTTGTGTATGTGTGTGACCATGCTTTAAAAACGAGAATGCCAATCGATGCCTTTCCTCTGATAAAAAATAAAATCCTTCTCCGCAGACCAGGGTGAAGCTATTAGTAAACTCCTTTAAATTTTGTGTTTGATCTCATTGAAGAATATGTAGGTCAAATCCATTAAAAGAGACAACAAAACATACAAAGAATCGTGGTTCGTTGTAGATGTATCTAGTGGAATCCATCTTTTTGTTAATAATCCAAGCTTCCGGTTATTCAAGGCGGCTGCTTCAAGAGAAGAGAAAGTTGGATATTTCGTCGTACAAAATGAGTGTTAGTTTCATATTTAATTAATGTTTCGGTCATATCTTGTATTTACTAGTTATCTCTATCGTAGCAGTAAAACTGACATTACCTGTAAGCCATTATATAAGTATTTGAAGCAGTCAGATTTACACCAGGATTAGGTGAGCATGTGCATCACAGCTGGTGTTGATAACACTAGCTGCTTATGATGCACTTGTTATGAGCTGTGCATGGTAGAATGCAATACCTTAAAAGAGGGAATTTCAATAGTAAGATGGAGAAAGCATAAGTATTAAAGTGATAATTCACTATTTCTGACTCACTAACGTCGTTATGCTTTGTAATAAGTTTAAAGACCTGCCTGTTTTGGCACAGATCTGAGCGGCTTCAGACGAATCAGAGTTCTGTCTTCAGATCAGTCATGTAATCTAGGCTTTTTATAAACACTGGCTTACGTTCTAGTCTAAGCAGGCTGGCAATTAGTATATTGTAACTCAGCAGTAAGAAAAACACACAAGCTTTCTCCTCTATTTGCTTCTATTCAATAAACAAGACAGAAGCCAGTTTACTCTGGACGGTGCTTGCTTTGTCAGCTTCACTGTGCACATGGTGCATAGCTCAATGATACAATCGTTTTGGTTTGAGTACAGAATTGGGCATGTGACCTCACACTCTGAAATTATTTCATACATGATTTATGATCACACAGAACTGTTGACGTACTGTCCCTTTAAGTGTTGTCATGAACGGTAAAGACTGAAGTGTCAAACTTGGTTTAGGTGGTTGTTTAGAATTAATTAATTCATTGTGTAGTTTTTGTCTTGCCAGGTCTTTAGTAATAGTTTGTTAAGTCAGCAGGATACAAAAATCCTCTTCAAAAGAAAATTTAGAGACAAATGTCAATCACAAATGATATATGGACTTGACATGCCTAAGTTCTTCTTGTGTGTATGCATATGTTTTAGTATATCTTGTACAGTGATTTAACAGGATAAATATAAACAGTGATAAAATAAGCCATGTGACTACAAATTTGTACTCAAACTCACAGAAATTCCAAAGCCGCATTGTCTTTAGACTTATTGTGGATAAGCCTTGCTACTTGTCATCCCCAGTAATTTACCATGTATTAACTTTATGAGGTACTTACATTTAACATGCTTAAAGGGTTTTTTGCGATGCACAAGTGTGCATCCAGTGCATGCAAATGTAGAGAATTGATACAGAAAAATATTATGCTGCGTCTCCACAGCCAATTGAGGAATTATGGGCGTCTCATTTCATCCAACAATCATGGCCACTGTCCACATGAGCAGTGATTCATTCCAGGCTCTAAAGTAATTATCAAAACATGCAGAAAACTACATCATTTCTTTACTTAACAGGGCCCTCATATTTCCTACAAGGACCCTTAAACATGTTAAAGTTAATTATTGGGGGTCACCGGGACCCCCACTTTTGTAAGTATGGGTAAAACTCTGCACTTACTGTTTTATACTCCTGTGTAATGTATTTCATTATGATATTCAGCATATGAAACTCTTCCATACCACATCTGCCATCGTATATTCTCTCTCTTTTCAGGCTGATCTGCAATTGGAGGTACGTCTTCTATTTACCAACATTCTAAGCATGCTAACATGGCTAAGTTGTGACTTCAAATATTGGGTCTCAGTGTAACATGCAGTCCCTACTAGAGTGGCCAGGCTCTTTTGTGAGTGAGTTGGGTTTTACATTCACTTTTAGCAATATTCCAGCTGTATCATGGCAGGGGACACCAGCAAAGGGCTTCACACATTGTACCCATGTGGGCGCCTTTGTGAAGGGAAAACACTCATTCTGTACATTCCTAGGAGGCATTTATGAGGGCCCTGATGGGTTTTAATGCTTAACGTAAAACACCCTTCAAACACTATCGTAAACGTAAAATTCATTTATTTTTTTATCGTAAATGCTTAACGTTAAATACCAAAAAATAACTGTTTAACGTAAATAAATAATTTACTGCTTATCGTAAAATGATTAAAATGGTCAAAAACAGTCTGTCTTCAAGACCCAAATGCTTCGCCACAGAAAGCAGGCTGCGCCACTGACGCAGGGGACCAGTCTAGAATGTTTAGCGATTTGAGATTTTACCCGGCATTAAAAATATGAATTGTCAGGATGCAACGAAAGCAGAATTAAAAGTCCCATATCCCGCCATTGTCGATTTAGGAATCGTTTCGCATCAAAATTCCAAATTAAGATTCAACTTGACCGCTTTTCCCGCGGTTGAAGGATTACAGATTGACAGCAATGGAGGTGAATTTGGAAATAATCAACTGTGTGTTGAGCTTTGTCAAAGACGGTGAAAAGCTGGAACAGTGCACGGCTAGGCTTCCTCTTGATCCCGAGGCACACACACTCTTTGATAAGTTTAAGAAACATGTACAATCCTTCACTGGATTGCAGGAAATGTGCGATTGTATCGGGCCAATAAAGTTTGGATTAAAAATTCTACGGTACAATAGGGACACAAAGAGAAATTTGACATATTTCCTAGACTATATCAATGACACTAGTTCCACCCTTTGTAATAATGGCCCCAATGAGGGATACCTGCTGAATTAAAACAATAGATAATTCAGTGATCCCTAAGGCTAATTAGACATTTACAGTGTATAGTATGTTAACCTGTTATAATGTACAGTTATTTGTGCCCTAAGCTATATACTAGTTACAATAGACAATGCAAGTTAAATTATACCTTATCTAATAAACTAAATATTGTAATTTCACCCTGAAATAGAACATCCTGAAATGAAAGTTATTTATGAAATGTGCTTGTGTAGGAATATCAAATATTGCCCAAAGGTATTGGTGAATTTTGTAGAAAAATGTAGGTAAAATAACCTGGTGATAATATCATGATATTTGTTGAAAAATTCATTTGGCATTTTTGTGAAACAAATATGCGACCCCAAAACATTTTCGCGACGATTTTATTGAAAAAGAAGCAAAATTAATGCTTAATGAAAAAGTACCCTAAATTTTACTGCTTATGGGACCCCCCCCATCAGGACCCTCATTTATCAACTAACTTCATCTTGCAAGTGATGCAACCATTCCACTCTCAGGGCAGACTCTACCACTAGACCATGGAGGCAGTCTGATAAATACCCAGGAGGCGTTTATCAACTAACTTCATCTTGCAAGTGATGCAACCATTCCTCTCTCCAGGCAGACTCTACCACTAGACCATGGAGGTGGTCCGATAAATACCCAAGAGGTGTTTATCAGACCCGTGAAGATCCGGGGTAGAATAGGTCTTCAGCAACCCATACCTGCAATAAAAGGCGATTATCCTTGTTGTAAGAGGCGATTAACAGGATCGGGTGGTCAGGCTCGCTGACTTGGTTGATGCATGTCATCGTATCCCAATCATGTGGATCGATGCTCATGATGTCAATCACTGGATAGTCTGGTCCAGACTCAATTATTTACAGACCGCCGTCTAATAGCTGGAATATTGCTGAGTTAAACAACAAACAAACATTTATCAAATAACTTCATCTCGCAACAGATGCAACCCTCTCCTGATCCTGTGTCAAACAATATTATCTTCTTCTATTAATCATGTTAATCCTGCTTTTAAATCATGTTTTAGGTTTTTATCTACTATCTATGCAGTTTTTATCTAATTATATCGTATTGTCGAATATTTATTATTTTATTAGTCATGTTAGTGGGTTGATGTAGACTATGAAAGCAATTGCCCTATATAATATTATAACTCTTTCACATGTGACTTGCTCACTAGATACTGTACACAGTAAAGTATCACCATGTCTTTACCATGTTTACATGTGTCTTTAATTTTATCCACAAAACATAATCAACAACAATAAACAAATTAATTGATTTGCAAATGTCGATGTACATGTATTTAGGTGGTAGGCGGTCGGCCTGTTGACTCTCACTTTGGTGTATTATGAATCGTTTTTAGTGAAATCTATGATCATGATGATGTTTCCTTTTAAAATTTAAAATCATAGCTAGATTTTCTCAACACGGTCAATGTAAATTTGGTCATTATGTCATGGAAAAACATTCTGATTGGCTGCCGCTGAGAGCTTTCCAGTAAAGCTGTTCTATTTTTGGACACTGGGTTATCCAGCATTAGACAAAGCTGATATGTCATATATTTTCAAGGGATGTGTCCATTTCAAATATTAATAGGATTGTACAGTTAATTAAGTTCTTGACAGACTGAATGATCCTCATCACGACTGATGCAAGGGAGAAATTATGTTGCTATATTTCTACTTTGATCGCGTCAGATACAACTTTCTGAGTCATAAGCTATGATCATGGCACGTCAGTCTGTTTAGTTGTTGTCATTGTTTTGTTCAGGCTGACGACATGGCGGTTCGTCTGGAAGAAGGTATCGACCTGAATGACCTCCGACAAAGTAAAGAAGTAATCCTTTCCTTGGCTGAGGACCAGGAACAAGGTATGAACCATCCTTGTTGTTTATCAGCAGTTCATAGCTAATCATGCTAATGTGGGGGCATGGTTGATATTTGTCATCTAAGGCAATACGCTGTGCAGAGTTGCGTCCCTTAGGCATGCTAGCATCCCAGACTGGCCCAGGTTATAATGTGTGGTTTGTCAGCACTACACCCATCTCACACCAGTAGATTGTAGTGTTCTTGTGTATACTATGATAAGCTCAGACTACTAAATGAACCAAATTATTTTGGGACTCACGCTTAAGTCATCAATCACTGGATTGTCTTGTCCAGACATGTGTATTTACAGACTGCCTTCATATAGCTGGGATATTGCTGATTGCACTATTAAATGACAGACAAACAAAGCATCACTTTGGCTTTCCTGAAACATGAAGCTGACATGCCATGAGCTGGTGAGAACCGAAATACTGTTCAAAGTGGAGTTAACCAACTGACTCACTAACTTCAACATGTTTAAGGGGGCACGGGTGGCCCAGTCGTCTAAGGCGCCGCGATTTGCTGTGCTTGCTGTGCTTGGGCACTCCAGAAACCTATGATTGTGGGTTCGAATCCCGGTTCGCCCCAATTATGTTTCTAGGTTTGTGCTCGTGGGTTTCACCGAAGTGGTAAACCTCTTAGACCTGCATGACTTCGGGCTTTCCTCCCACATTTAGCTGTCACGCCGTGATATAACTGGAATAATGTTAAAAGCGGCGTTAAACCGAACTCAGTCAGTCAGTCAACATGTTTAAGATAAATTATGCATCATGTTGTTTGTATTTTTGTTGTTGTTTTTTTTTGGGGGGGGGGGGGGGGGTTTAAGATATCTTTATTTCTGGAGTTATGGTACAGATAGGAGCTTCTGCCAAGGATGGCCTAAGTGTCTTGGAATGGAAATTGAGAGATATATTGCCATGATTATGTGACACCATTTTGTTTCAGTGCACTCAATCACACGAGTTACTTTATTGCTGATGCAATGCCCATGCGACGTTAAATTTTAACCCTTTAACCTCATTCACTGAGACTGACCTGTACATGTATGTATGCAGAGTCTTGATTGCCATGGTTTGTGGTAGAACAGTCGATTGCTGTGACAGAAGGCGATAGCTACTTATTTACATGTGGAAGGACTGTCATTACTTCAGACGGAACAGTTCGTGATATACCATATTCCACGTAATAAGTGCCTAGGGCGCTCTCAAAAATTATGAATAGGGGGCTGTTGGTACTATTAGAATATTATTTTGGTGGAAAAAAAACAGAGTTGACAGATTGTGAATGTTGTGGTTTATGCTGACAGCCTGAAATGTTTATATATGACAGATGTATTTTACAGAATTTAATTGCCTGTAATTAAGGGTGCATATAACACATGGGTGTGTATTATACACGAATAAATAAGTCTTGTGTACATTGATCAATCGGAAGGGTTGCTAATTGGGATTGTTCACTAGCCAATATCTTAGCAAATATCGCCATGGGCGCTTATTAGAGTGCACTTATTACGTTGAATACGGTACCATTTATTTAGGTAAATAATTGCCTTGTTAACTTTTGCTTTCAGTTGCATGTCTTTCATACAATATATGGTGAAAGTATTTGAAAGTCAGTGTTGTTTTAAGTATCACGTATTTGTTTACACACTCTTATTTTCTTTCAGAAAGAAATCAAGACCTCCTATTAGACAATGATTACTTTGATCCTGAGGATGTGTTACAAAATGTCTTTCCTGAAGGGGAATTTGATTCGGATGAGTCTGAATCATTGTTTGTCCGGATGGGCAGAAACATGCACGACGTGACCGGAGATGGGGGTGTGATGAAGAAGATCCTCACCCAAGGAGTTGGCTCCGACTTGGCCCCTGATGCTCTTGTCCGGGGTAAGGTGCTTTGTTACAGCATTGAATCATCGTCTTGTACAGAAACATGGAGTATTTTTGTGTTTTCGGACATCCTCACACAAGAACATACAGAATTGCAATTAATTTTTTTAATTTAGTGAAGGCATGAGCATGATAAAGAAAGAGTCCTTTTGTTATTGACGGCATTGGGCAAGTGTTTTTCAAACATGCAAGTAACAGGCCATCTGATTGGCTGAATATGTGAAATCTTTCAACAGTATACCATGATATGAAATACTAATGAATACGTATCACAATACATTTGGGTAATACTGGTGTAGTGCGTTTTTTCAAAATCATGCATATTTTCTTGCTGGGAAAGTTTACCTAAGTGCGAAGTCGAATTGAAATTATGAAATTAGCTACTGTTTTCATCGAAATAGCAGAACTATTCACATGATTCAGGACCAGTTTCCTGTATGATATGTATCTACGAAACATGCACTGGGATGTTGCAACATCCAACAGAATGACAGACGACTACAAAGTTTTCAAAAATGTGTGGGTAAGTTGGGGTTTTTTTCAGGCTCATAACATATTACTAAACGCATGCAATATATTTTGTTTTCAGTACACTATAATGGCTATTTAGAAGATGCAATTGAGCCTTTCGACTCCAGTCGACTGCGGAAAACTGTAAAGAAATTTCGACTCAACAAAGGTAACGAAATATGTAGATGTCAAAACGAGAAATGTGTGATGGTTTACATGTTTCTATTTCATTGCGATGTTTATGGAAGTTAATCCATATGTTATGAATACACTGTCTGCACGTCTCATTACATCAGGGGCACAGGTGGCCCAGTCATCTAAGACACCGCATTTTGCTGTGCAGAGTTGCCTCCCTTGGGCACACCAGCAACCTATGATCATGGGCTCTCCCTGATTGTGTTTCCAGGTTTGTCAGCATCATACCCATGTCCGTGGGTTTTACAAAGGTGGTAAACTTTTTAGAACTGCATCACTTCAGGCTTTCTTCCCACATCAAGCTGACACGACGTGATATAACTGAAACACTGTTAAAAGCGGCATTAAACCCAAGTCACTCACTCACTCACTTGAATAAAAGACCAACACTTCTAGCCTGTGTTCCTTTTACCACCATCTGAACATGCTGAGATTTTGTCTGCAATTTAAGATAAATGTGTGCAGACTTTGTTTTATGTTTGATATTTATTGATATGAAACTACTTTAAAAAATTAACACATACTTCCTGATTAACAAAGTACCATTGAATTATCTTTGCAGGAGAGGTTTTCACAGGGTTTGACGTAGCTGTGAATTCCATGAAGAAAGGAGAATTATCCAGGTTCCTGATAAAACCTGAGTATGCCTTCGGCGCCATGGGCTGCCCCCCTCGCATCCCTGCTGATGCCACATGTAAGATACTCACCCTTACTGGGACATGTGGGACTCGGGTTAGAATAGGTCCCCAACTGTGCCCATCTTCCTGTGGCAAGGAGTTAACTTACTATGAAAGTCTGGTTTCCTTCCTTGCCGAATGAGGCTGGAATTACGGGGTTTGATCGTAGTGCCATCAGTGGCTATTACAAGTTATGTCCCTCCTACGTCGATCCTATTGACCAATCAGATTCCACCTATCATATTACTTGCATTTGCTTCAAATAAAATCAAGTCTTAGATCGTAATAAGAAGTGTCTCACCTTGCAAAGTGCATCAAATTACTTGAGCACCTTGATTAAAAACATGAAAAGATTTGGAAAATATCTGTCAACGCCCTTTTGACGATACACATACTTTGCAAATCCTGCAATCGACTGAAATCTACACTGTGGTTTATGAACCAGATGTCAATATCGTTACACAATTTTGATTTGACTATGCATAGACTTGTTAGTCCTGCCAAAAAACACAGCTCCATAATTCCAGCCTAGTTCAGCAACTCTCTTGCCTTTGGAACATGTCTCTGGTGAGGCGACTAATAGGACCAGGTCGTCAGACTGTCAGACCATTGCATGTCCTCATATATCTAAGGTCTGGATTATTGGTTGTTGTATATAGACCCGTGAAGATCCAGGGTAGAATAGGTCTTCAGCAACCCAAGCTTGCCGTAAAAGGCGACTATACTTGTCGTAAAAGGCCACTAACAGGATCGGGTGGTCAGGCTTGCTGACTTGGTTGATGCATGTCATCGATCCCAGTTGTGTGGATCAATGCTCATGATATTAATCACTGGATTGTCTGGTCCAGACTCGATAATTTACAGACCACCATCATATAGCTGGAATATTGCTGAGTGCGGTATTAAACAACAAACCAACCAAACAATGGTTGTTGTATAGTGACTGGTTTTGTCTGGATCAGACTCAATTAGTTACTGGCTGCCATGATATGGCTGGAATATTGCTGACAGTTGCATTTTACAACATTCTTTGCTTCACTGTATATTTATTGTCACCATTAGAGTTCATGCTTGTCATAGATGACTAGATTCAGGGTGATTGTGTGAGCAAGGATTATATCCTACCTAAATATTATCCTGGGGGAAGTTTTATTCTAGAGTATAGTATCCTACCTTAGTGCCACTCTGGAATGGGTTCACATTCACCAGGGAGAATCATCCTGACACTAGAGAATTTCATCCCGGGGATAAAAAATAGGGTAGGATAATATTCATTCTTGCAATTGCACAATGTGGTACAACGTGTGACCTGTTTGGTGGAGTGTCACCGTACTCTGACAGATTGAGTCCACCTCGATGGTGAATAGTGGTAGAGCATCTGCCTGGACAGTGGAAGGACGGAAGTTCAGTCCCTGAAAGACATTAAAAGATGGTACTTGTTACCCTGCCTGGAGCCCAGCATTAAGGGGCTATAACAAGGACTGGTCGGCTCAGAGTCAGTATACTGTATGTGAGTGGGGTATTCATGTTAAACTGCAGCATGGTATCTCAGTGGGCTAGTAGGATTAAATTTGCATTGGTCTGGACTAGTACCATCAGACGCATGCATGCATGCCGTTATATAAGTGCAATAACAATCTTGGATGCGACAGTAAACCCCATTTCACCTCACCTCTGACAGCTGGATGAGTGCTCATGTTATTCCGAAGATTTGATTATGTTCAGCCTCCAGGGACAACTTATTCAATCCTGAGGTCTCTTATTATTCTCACATTTCTGAAGGCTGTGAATTAATTTACTTTAGTTTTAAAAGTCGGTCATTGAACATCTCAGGCAGGCATATGTGAATTTTTTATTCATAAGTGTGATTATCAGGCTCACATGGTAATAAAAAGAGCTTAAGCTGGATTTCTTTCAACACTTTCCTGAATTTTTAGGGTTGGCAGGTCCGAGTGATTAGAAATAAATCACTAATCTGTGTGACTCTGCTAATGGATGAAGACAATGATTAATGCCATGTATTCAGGTCATGGACTGCTAATGTATGATGATGATGATGATGATGATGATGATGACTATGTGTTTCAGTGATGTATGAGATCCAACTGCTGAGTTTCGTGGAGAAGGAAGGAGTCGATGACTATTACAGTATGACAGACGTAAGAGGAACTTTAAGATTTTACAGACTTGTCATTCTCAACAATCCCCAAGTATCCATGCTATGCCCTGGCAGTATATCAACAAACAAAATTGTCTAAATAGCTCTGACATGAACATATTTACAAATGTCCTCCTTTGTTCTTTGAGCATCATCCCCTCTCAACAAGTCAACCCAAGGGTGATCTTAAGTTGCATAGCAACCAGGCATGTGACAAAGTGCGTTGGTTGCCATGAACGTTCAGGTGGGAATGAACCAAATATTATGATTGTAGGCAAAACCACAAGTGGCTCACAAAAACATGGTGTGTTAGTCCTCTAATTGAAATATGTCCTTAAAAGTGACCTTTTGTGGCCTTGAAAAAGCATGAAATGCCTGTATTGAACTGAGCAAATTGTGTATGAACTGTGACTGATATTGCATGGGATGTTTCATTACTTTACTTTCAGGAAGAAAGAAGAATGCTGACATTTCCCAAGTTACGTCAAGTTGCTAATTCAGAAAAGCAGGTATGTGTGTTTCAGTGGAGTATCATAAAGCAGGTATGTGTGTTTCAGTGGAGTATCATAAAGCAGGTATGTGTGTTTCAGTGGAGTATCATAAAGCAGGCCCCTATCGGATTGGATGACATAGAAGGTCAAGGTCACTAAGTGTGAACTTGGTGTTGCAAAACTTTGTTTGCACCTCTACTTGAATATTTATGACTGGAATATGATAAAACTTTGTATACATGATCTCTAAGTGGGGTTTCGATCACATCCTCTTTTGAATAACCTATAAATCCTGAAACATGGTTCAGATTTCATGAAATTTTGGATTCATGAAGAAATCAAATGTTCAATCGGTTTGTCATGTTAAAATGAACTCAATAGCTATCATATGTCGGAATGTGTCAAATGTCAAGGTCATTTTAAAGGTCGTTTTCTCATGAAAAGTATTGTTTGGACACCTCCTTAATTTGCAACACATAATGTTCTCTTATGTGTGATTGAATGTTATAAGGTTACTTGGTGTGTAGTAGACCTCCAAGAAAGCTTGTGTACAGGATATCTAGAGCATTTATGATTGGAATATGACCAAATTTTATTTTCATGAACTCAAGGCAGAACATAGTTTTGATTGAAGGTCAAGGTCATGCAACCAAAAGGGCTTGTGACTTTGTTATTCAGATAGTGAGAGGCATAGGACTTTCTGTTTCAAAATTGTATTGCAATGGGTGTGTGTTTTTGAAATTATAAGACCGAAATGTAGTATCCAATGGCAAGGTTGTTTGTTTTTTTCAAATTTTAGATTGAGCAAAGAGACATGTCAAGAGAAGTATTCATACACAGTGAAAAAAACGTGGAATCCATATAGCATTTGCAACTCATTAGACTGCAGCACACACTCTTATTCAGTTCTTCAATATTTTAGGAAGGAAATGAGTACTACCGCGTGAACAACTTCCGGCGAGCCGTGGGGAAGTACCGGATGGCAGTGCGGATCATCGAGGATGCACACCTGAAGGACTACAAGGAACAGCAGGAGCAGCGCAAGCTGTTGCTGAAGCTGTACCTCAACCTGGCCCTGTGCTGTGAGAAGCTGGGGGAGGTCAAACATGCCCTCTACAACTGTGCCAACGCCTACAGGATTGAACCCAAAAATGCCAAGGTGCTTTACCACTATGGAAAGGTAAGGTGTTGATGGCCAGTAAGGCTTGGACTGATCTGTGATTGTTAAACTGTAGATCATCAAATTAATCCAAGCTTTATGTTAATGCAAAAAATGGGAGCGTCCATTGCTTGCAGTGATAAAGTGATGCTTTTTTTATGTGGACATATTGGAATATTCTGTCATGTCAGGTTGAAACAATGACATATAACACAGCTCACAATAAACAATGTCATTGAGTAGAGTTATACTGGTATGTCACGATTTGAAATTCTAATGAATATGTATCATAAAACGTTTTGAAATATTGCATTTACATAAGTGACAATTAGAATGAAATTAAGAAATTGAGAAGTTAGTTGATTCCTGTGATCGAAAGAGCAAAACTATTCACGGCCAGGGCCTTCCCGAAGTGGAAGGTCGGCACGCCCAGGGCCTTCCCGGAGTGGAAGGTCGGCATGCCCAGGGCCTTCCCGGAGTGGAAGGTCGGCACGGCCAGGGCCTTCCCAGAGAGCGGAAGGTCTGGGTTTCATTCCCCATCCACTTCATACCAATAGGAGACTGCCTCCCTGGTCTAGAGGTAGAGCGTTAACCCGGAGAGAGGAAGGTCCGGGTTTCATTCCCCATCCACTTCATACCAATAGGAGACCGCCTCCCTGGTCTAGAGGTAGAGCGTTTATCCGGAGAGCGGAAGGTCCAGGTTTCATTCCCCATCCACTTCATACCAATAGGAGACCGCCTCCCTGGTCTAGAGGTAGAGCGTCCGCCCAGGGAGCGGAAGGTCCTGGGTTCGATCCCTGGCCGCGTCATACCAACAGGCGTTAAAAGATGTTACCTATTGTTACCATGCCTTGTGCTCATCATTAAAGGGCAAAAACAAGGACTGGTCGGCTCGGAGTCAGTATACTATGTGTGAGTGGGGTATTCATGTTTAACTGTGTCAGAGGGCTAGCACTATTAAAAAAATTGGCATTAGTCCGGAGTACCGTAGTACAAGCAGCCACACACCAAAGAATCAACTTGTCTGATTGTTGTTCTATCATCAATTTCACCTGACGTGTAGTTTCTTATACAACACATACCCGGACAATTTAGGATTTCCTTCCACATAACATCATGTTAATATTTTCTACATCATTTGTTTTTAAAGTATTTCCAGTAAATCAAACTGATCCTGCTTCCAATCAGGGCTCCATTCTTGGCACATTTTTATTCGGGAGTGTTTTTTTATTGCTATTTAAGGTTCTAGAGAACGAGTTGTCATCTGCAAATTCTGAGCCAGGTCACTCAGTAACCAGGAAACTCGGTTGATGGCAAGGTCACATGACGATGACTTGTCAGATACTGGTCTTTGTTTTCTTCATTGATAACCATGACAGCGGATATAAGATATTCCTTGTAAACAAGGGTCAGTGGTCACATGATAATGACTGAGGCTGGCTTGAGACTTGTTGCCATAAGGGAAATTCAACATGTATCAATGTTGTTACATCAGATTTCACCGATGAACTTTCAAAGTAAGGCAGGTTCTATGCATGCCATTACAAGCGGAATTGGTCCACAAATTAAATGTCGCATATGAATGCCTGGTGGTAGACGTATCAAATCACAGTTGAAGCTTGATAGTCACTTAAATTAAGTATCAATGTCGTCAGAAGCCACATACCAAGTTTACCGGTAGCACAAATCTTTTTGTTTTGTTGCTGTTCATATTTCATCCCATTGTCAATACTGATTTGTTTCTCTTTTTCAGTCCTATAGAATGGACATGAATTTCAATATGGCACGAAGTTATCTGGAGAGAGCACAGAGGCTGCAGCCAAATGATTCTAAACTCAACCAAGAGATTCAAGAACTAAACAAGTGGGTACTGTTGTGGAGACTAGGTCATTGCAAAAGTGTTTACAAGCAGAATAGGTTTCCAGTATCATTGCAAAAGTGTTTACAAGCAAAATAGGTTTCCAGTATCATTGCAAAAGTGTTTACAAGCAGAATAGGTTTCCAGTATCCAATGTTTGTCTCCTTAATGGGATTTGGGACATGGCCAGGTGCCAGTACCCCATGCTTGTGGCTCCATGGTGACGGTCAGTTGCCAGTACCGATGCTTGTCTCTTTAATGGGACATGGCCAGGTGCCAGAACCCAATGCTTGTGGCTCCATGGTGACGGTCAGTTGCCAGTACCGATGCTTGTCTCTCCATGGGGAATCTGTGTTCTTCCCAAAATCGATGTAATCATATTGTCTATTTTCCCTGAATGCTTGTCCAGTTTTCCACATCTCTGAAACTGCCATATGGCAGCCATATTGAAAATGTCATTTTGCCTATGGCTTGGACATGTGGTTTGCCGAATAAAATATGAAACACTTACTGGGATTTTGCTGAAATATGGCAGACTGTGGCTTAAAACAAGACAAAACAAACAAAATATGAAGAAAGTATATAGGTTTCAGTTGTTTGTTTGTTTGTTTGTTTATCCTATACAAATCACCTGTTCACTTGTTGCAGGTATGAGAGGCAGTGTAATGAAATAGAGAAGGAGACGTGCAGAAGGATGTTTTCTCAGCCTACTGGTGTGACTGAAGGTAACTTGCCTCCCTTTGCTGTGGGGAGTTTTAGCTGTTAACCCATGTTCACAAGGCAACCGTATACACTAGCCTATATCAAGGTCTTGCTATTTCAAGCCTACTTTCCTGTCCTAAAATATGACAGGACTATCGCCCATATCGATAGTCTAATGTTTTACAAAATCAACATCTGTGTTCCGAAAATGTGGTCGCTGCGATGGCCGGGGCCATCACCTGTCATATTTGCAAAGTTGTTATTCCAAAAATTAAGCTAAGACAAATATTTTCGAAGTGGTTCAAAGTTTTCAGTCAACTCCCCAAAGTACTTGTATATTACATTAAGTAATACGTTACCACTGTTATACCGAGGCTGTTGTCTCCCACAACTGCTGCTATAGCGAAATCTACCACAGAGATCTCAATTACCTCATGCAGCACGTGCGTAGCCACCTAGCTGCCATGTGACACCCTTCACTCTTGTCTCTTTGCTTGCTCTAGCAAGACGTACAATAAACTGCTCAAGCGTTCCTGTTTCTCCGACCATTCGGTGATATTTATTACTGTTTATTCTCTCTAATAAACTGTGCTTTTACGGGGCGTTTGCTGTAACTACGCTTGGAAATATTTTTCCCGCCCTTTTTTTTCTATATACTTGCGGGGTGTCTCGTATGCACGTTGCGTCTTACGTTCCCCTGTTCTAGTATATCTTGGGGTTTTTACATCACTTATTCCTCTATATGTTATATGTGTATGTTCTATATTCCCATTGCTCGTTTATTTTCTTGTGAAAATACTCGCTTGTGACTATTTGTGGTGCGTGTGTTGTAACCATGTTTTGCTCTTTGTTCATAGTACAAACAAAATGTCTGACATGGATGTTTCGCCGTCCTCCACCCCCTCTACCCCCGCAACCAGGAGCTGCGGGGTGTGCCGCAAGCGAGCGCTACCGGCTGTATGTGCAGTCCATTTCCACCCCTGTGGTGGCCGGCTCGTCCGGTCGGGGTCCCCTTGCGGGTACCACCACCACGGCTGCGGCGGATCCCTTGGCGGCCCGTGGGCTGTCCGGGGTTTCCGTCGCTGCATTACTTGCATAACTTGTGGACTCCAAGCTGGCGGCCTTATCTCCTGATAGGCCGCTGGCTGTTCCGTCCCCGGCCACTTCGGTGGCCGTGGGGTCGGACGCGGGGTCCACGGGTACGGCGGCGGCTCCCGTGGTCACCGGTCCTTCCCCCGAACCGTTGCTCCCGCTATCGGTTAAGGACCGCGTGGCCATGGTTTATGACCTCTTTGAGGACATGCCCCGGCCGGTACCACGGGGAATCCACGACTGTGGGTTCCTCCGAGGTATACGATGAGTCTTCCGACACGGCTTTCCCCGCATCAACCTTGCTGCGCGGTATCAAGCCTTCCTTGGAGAACGCCTTCCCGGCGGCCTCCGGTCGGGGTCTCCCGTTGCCTCCGACGTCGTGGAGAAAGGGTTTATTCCCGGTACATGACCTTGCCTTTCCCGAGGCTGGTCCTACCGCGGAGGCCCATGTTGAGCGGTTGGGTGTCCGTGCCCCACCGGCTGCTACGGTAACGCAAGCTACCTTGCACCAGCTGGACGCCCTCGCTCGACACTCCATGTCTCACGGAGACACTTACTTGGCTGCAGCGGCCCGTCTGGTCGAAGGTTCTCCCACGGACCGTGACCAGCGCATTTACAACTGCCTGCTCAGTTTAAATGCTTCCCTGGAGTACGCTGCCGAGGACTCTCGGCACACACTTGCTCTTGTTGGGTCCCTGCATAGGCGCCTGGGTGCCGCTCCTAACCGGAGCGCGCCCCAGGCTGCTGCGGCCGGTAGGCCTAAGGGGTCGGGTTCTTCTTCCTCTGGGAAGTAGCCCCGCCCTGAGGGCTCCGGTATGGGCATCAGCTGCCTTTTCGCGGGAAGACAGGGAACTGGGGGAAGCCCAAGTCGTCGACGGACGGCAAGGGCCCCTCCAGGTGACTCTCATTGGAGGGGTTCGTATGCCGACAGCGCCAACTTCGGTTGGCCCTTAGACGAACCCGAGTCACTTGGCCCTGGACAGTTGCGCCTGCCGCAGCCTGTCAGGGCCCCCTCTCCTTCCCCAGTGGGAGCCAGACTCCAGACTTACTGGGAGAATTGGGAACAAGTGTTCGATGACCCGTGGGTGGTCAACACGATTCGGTACGGCTATCGGCTTGTTCTCAAAGCGAATCCGCCGCTCACCGTTGCCCCGTTGGCAGGTTTCGATTCCGAAACCGATCTTCCCATCCTCGCCGATGCCATCGGCAGGTTGGTGGAGAAGGGGCAGTACAGGAGTTAGCTCTACCAGAAATAACACCGGGGTTTTACTCCAGGATATTTCTCATTCCCAAGTAGGACAGTGCCGAACTCAGAATGATTCACACGTCCGCTCCCTGGCTGTTCACCCGGTTAACCACCCCCATAGTGGGGTTCCTCCACAGGAGGGGTGTCCGGTACTTCGCGTAACTGGACGACTCGCTAGTAGCAAATCGAATGACGGACACCCTGTCACGCCATCTCGTTTTCGCACGTCGGCTCTTGGAGCAATTGGGGTGGATTATCAATCTCCCCAAGAGCGAGTTAACCCCTTCTCAGAACTTGCTGTTCATCGGAGGTCGGTTCAACACGGTGTCCCATCGCCTCTTTGTCCCCCCAGACCGGTGGCACAAGATTCAGGCGATGATTGCCAAAGTCTTAGCGGTGCAACAGACTGTTCACTTTTGGGAACAGCTGTTAGGGCTACTTGTATCAGCCCAGGACTGCACCGAACGGGGTCGTCTCCAACTCCGCCCGCTGCAACGGTTTTTAATCCAGTTGTTAGCAACGGAGGTGAACAGTGCGACCGTCGCCCTCCCGGATCGGCTCCGACCGCATCTGGAGTGGTGGACGGTCCCTTACAATGTCTTATCAGGAGTCTCTATGCGGCCCTACCGGGCCACGTTGAACCTGTATACAGACGCCTCTCTAGTGGGCTGGGGCGCCCATCTAGAGGGGGAGGTGAGCTTGGGGCTGTGGTGCGTAGACGAACTAGGTCTTCACATCAATTGTCTCGAGTTCAAGGCAGTGATCAACGCAGTCAATCACTGGAAGCATCGTCTCGTCGACGCCCGGCTCATGCTGGCGACCGACAACACGACGGTAGTGTCCTATGTGAACAAACTGGGGGGAACCCACATTCACTCGCTACTCGATCACACGTTCGAGTTTTACGCTCTGGTGGACAGTGTCCCGTGCCAGATACGCGCCCATCACATCCCAGGTGTGCGGAACGTACTGGCCGATGCTCTATCGAGGCCTCAGGATCCGAGCCCCACAGAGTGGATGCTGAACCCAGTAGTGTTTCAGTGGCTGTGCGAACGTTTGGGTCGTCCGATGGTCGACCTGTTCGCAACACGGTTTAACAATCAACTCCCATTGTTTGTATCACCAGTCCCGGACCCGAGGGCCATCGATCACGATGCTCTCGCGTTAGACTGGACGGGCTTGGACGCTTATGCTTACCCGCCGACAGCGTTGATACCACACATTCTAAGCCGGCTCCGAGGAGTTCGCTGTCGAATGTTACTGATCGCGCCCATGTGGCCGAACAGATCGTGGTACCCCGACTTGCTGACCCAGGTCACGCAGTCGCCACTCCCACTGCCTGTGAGACCGGATCTCTTGATCCACCCTCACACCCGTCAGCTTCATCCAAACGCAGGGCAGTTCAATCTGCACGCGTGGATGTTGTCACCGAGCGTCTGAGGAGTAAAGTTTTTTCTCGCCGGGCGTCTCGGGCATACGTTAGTATGCATCGTGATTCTACCCAGAAGGTGTATAATGCACGTTGGGTTATTTTCACGAAGTGGTGTTGTAAACATCACATTCATTCGTCAGATAAGGTATCTGTGCAGGATATTGCTCGTTTCATGTCTCACTTGCGAGAGACCCGGAAACTCTCCGGGGGTTCCATTGCCAACTATGTCTCGTCCGTTGCTACGGTACCGGACGTTGCTATGGGTACCAGTCTCTCCAAAGAGCCGGTGATACGGGGTATTATCAAGGGTTTCAAACAGCACGATCTTAAGAAGGGCCGCCTTCGGGCACCGGCCTGTGATCTTTCCCTAGTGTTGCAATCACTTACGGAAGCTCCGTATGAACCCTTGCATAGTGCTTCGTTCCGGCATGTGACTTGGAAAACAGCATTTCTCCTCTCCTTTGCCACGGCGGCACGTGTATCCGAAATTCATGCACTCGATGTCGCCAAGGTACGATTCGATAGGGGTGACGAAGGAGCGGTCCGCCTGGGCCTGCTCATGGGCTTCGTCGCCAAGAATCAGAGAGTCGGGCAAACGGAGAGAGAATTCACTGTAAGATCACTCAAAGAAATCTTACATCCTGCTGATACTGAGGACAGAGCGCTGTGTCCGGTTAGGGCCCTTAAGTATTATCTTAAGGCTTCGAATGAACGTAGACAAGGGCGTGACCGTCTGTTCATATCGTGTAACCCTAATCGCACGGTTGACATAACTCGCAACTCGATTGCGTTGTGGCTTCGTTCTGTCATCAATCTGGCGTACCGGTCTCGGGGGTTACCGGTAGCGGGGTCAAACCCGCACGAGATCAGGGCGCTAGCGGCAACATTTGCCCTACACTCGAATATCTCTGTTCGCAGAATATTACGAGGTTGTTACTGGCGTTCTGACTCGGTTTTTGCCAATCATTACCTCAAACAGGTCGCTGATGCCGTCGTGGAGAGTGTGCACCGTCTTGGCCCGCGGATCGCGGCGCAAGCGGGCACCTAAGGGGTGTGCCCAGCGCAATTCCGAACTCCTCAGGTGTCAGACCTTGCACGGTGGTCAATCTGGGTCGACTCCAATGTTCCCACTGCCGTGGGTACAGGAGTTGGGGTCCCGCAAACCAGCGCACTCACACCACAGGTGAGGGCGGCTTTTTGTGTGCTTTGTCCTTATTTGTATTTTGACAATTATGTATTTAATTGTCTGTCGTGTATCCCAACCTTGTGATGCATGCTTACAAATACTGGAATTAGGTCACGCGCCTAATGCATACTTTAAGTAGGCTTGCTCTGGGATATACGGTCTGAATGAAATTAATTTCCCTCTTTTCAACTGTTTAACCTGATCTAAGATTAAGCTCACGCGGATACAGTGTTCTGATCCGCTGCGGCGATGAAATACCTATCCAGTGGGGACGTTTGGAGTCACCAATCGTTTTGGCAATGACGATTGAGCCTTACGGTATGCGCTTGACAGTGCTTTGGTATTCCTATAGGGTAACGCCTAGCTAGGTGCATGCGCATCGAGTGCTTCCGCCTTGGTGTTTACTTCCGCTGGTCGGAAGAAACGCTAGCAGTCAGGATTCGGGTTGTAGGTGCTCCCCACCGCCTACTGTGGTAGTCAGCCTCGGTATAACAGTGGTAACGTATTACTTAATGTAATTTGTAGAATTTTCCTATTCGGAATATTCTATAAGTAATACGTTACCACTGGGCTGCTGCCCGCCCGTCCGTCCCCCGAGCACTTGCTCTCGCAAGAGACAAGAGTGAAGGGTGTCACATGGCAGCTAGGTGGCTACGCACGTGCTGCATGAGGTAATTGAGATCTCTGTGGTAGATTTCGCTATAGCAGCAGTTGTGGGAGACAACAGCCTCGGTATAACAGTGGTAACGTATTACTTATAGAATATTCCGAATAGGAAAATTCTACAAATATTTAAGTGCAAATTTCTTTGTTTTTTAACTCAAACGACTAAACATGTATCACAATGACTGAGATGCACTGGTATTTGCCAGACCCATGAAGATCCGGGGTAGAATAGGTCGTAAAGCAAACCCATGCTTTGTTGTAAAAGGCAACTATGCTTGTCGTAAGAGGTGTCTAATGGGATCGGGTGGTCAGACTCGCTGACTTGGTGGATGTCATATCCCAATTGTGGATCGATGCTCATGATATCAATCACTGGATTGTCTGGTCCAGACTTGATTATTTACAGACCGTTGTCATGTAGCTGGAATATTGCTGAGTCCGGCGTTAAACAACAAACAAACAAATTATAACATCCCAGTCGTTTCTGTCTCTCCATTGCAAGTGTTCGGGACCCTGCTGCAGAATTAAGTGACCAATGTTTGTCATTAGATCATTGATGTTTGTCTGGCAGTCTCAGTGACTTGGTTCACTACACATCCTGCCCTCAAGTTGTCTAGGATTCCAATCTAGGTACCCTGGGCAGGCAAATTTGGAAAGAGATCATTGTGTTGTTTAATTTTCTGGGATTTGTTTTTTTCTCATAAATTTAAATTTTCTCTAATTCACAGCCATTGTGACATAGCATGCCCTGCAATGTTGTAAAACTAAGCCAAAAAGCCTCTTTGGTTTTTTTCATCCTGATTGGTGAAACACAAGTCACCTCTACAATACATAACATTAATATATTAACATGACTTCTGGGTCTGAATAATCTCTATGTCCAAATGATAGATATACTTTCCAGTGTTACATGATGTTAAAAAATACATGTGATAGAAGCCGTCCGAATTGGGCCACTCATGTTAGAAATCTTCTATACAGATGTTGTTTTGGTTATATTTGGTTGGGGCAAAAAGTAGGAAATTGTAAAATGTTTGTGGAGTCGTTTGGCAACGTGTTGTAGATTCTGCTGAACGAAATTGGCATGCCTCGATTCGTAAATCTCTTGAATTCTACTCTTTGTGTAAATCTATATTTGAATGTGAACTGTATTTAACAGATATTATCTCTGTATGTTATAAAAAAAACTTTGTTAATATTTGAATCATGTATGAACACGATGAATTCTCTTGGTATACAAAACTTCTGTAAAGGAAAATGTGAATTAAATGATTCAGAAGTCGTGTGTAAAACCTGTTCTGTAATAGATGATGAAAGTCTTGTATTATTTTATTGCCCGTGTTGTGCAGTAGAATGTAATTTGTACTTGCAAGAACATGCAGATCATTCTAATTCTATATTGGATGTAGACATCTTTAAATTCACAAAAATTGTTTAAATTGTCAAATTTGTACAGAGTTCTTGCATCAAAGGAGATATTAAGATGCACCTTTAAATGTCAGATTTATGTAATGTGCTATGGGTTAGATGGCCTGGAATTCTGAATAAACTGAAACTGAATCTGAATTGGCAAAACATTAATCCCAATTTGGGACTTTTTGCTGACATTTGCTGCAGACATTCAGCGGGTCCAGATGAATCTGTGGCATGGAGCATTGCTCATAAACTCGGCCACTGGTTGGCTTGGCCGCAACTTGATAATTACCTGCTGCTGTTATAAAGGTGGGGTATAAAACAACATTCACTCCTTTCACTATGACATTAGGAGGACCCCCGGGAATATTTGACAGAGAGGTAACTTGATGGTTCTGACATGGAGATTTCATAACTTGTAGATCCTGCTGTGGAAGAGGCCAAAAGGAAGGCAAGAAAAAAGGAGGAATGTAGCCCAGACTTCAGGAAATCAGTGTACGGAAAACTCAGGTGGGCTGACTCAAGTTAGCTGTCTGTGCACTCATTGCTGGAGCACATTAAGGATAAGGTTGAATAGTTATGGCTTGTTATCACAGTGTGCATGTCATTGTATCCCAATTGCGTGGATCGATGCTCATCACTGGAATGTCTGGTCCAGACTTCGTTAGACCCGTGAAGATCCGAGTATGAATAGGTCTTCAGCAACCCGCGCTTGCCCTAAAAGGGGACTATGCTTGTCGTAGGAGGCAACTAATGGGATCGGGTGGTCAAGCTCGCTGACTTGGTTGATGCATGTCATCGTATCCCAATTGCGTGGATCGATGCTCATGATGTCAATCACTGGATTGTCTGGTCCAGATTCGATTATTTACAGACCGCCATCATATAGCTGGAATATTGCTGAGTACAGTGTTAAACAACAAACAAATAGATTCGATTATTTACAGCCCCCCCCATCATATAAATTGTTTGATAGGCATTACTTTCTGGAAGTTGCAGATGACAAAGAAGACACAATTTATGAATGACAACTTCTTTAATTACTGTAAAGGCGACGTCTTGGCATAGCTCCTTAAACCGTTGTCAAGCACGGCAGAATGATTTACTTACTAACTATTTAAGATTTAACTTGCGCTTTCAAACATTAACATATTCGACGTAATAAGCGCCCAGGGCGCTCTCAAAATTAGAAATTGGGGGCTCTTATTGGAATATTATTTTAATGGAAAAAAACTGAGTTGAAAGATAAATTTCATGGTTTATGAAGACAGCCTAAAATGTTTATGTATGACAGATATATTTTTCCAGAATTTAATTGCCCATAATTAAGTGTGCATATAACACATGAGTGTGTATTATACGCGAATAAATAAGTCTTGTGTACATTGATCAATCGGAAGGGTTGCTAATTGGGATTGTTCACTGGCCAATATATTAGCAAATATCGCCGTGGGCGATCACATCACACACTTAACCCCCATCACACTCTTAACCCCCATCACACACTTAACCAAAAACACACTTAACCCCAATTGCACACTTAACTCCATCACACACTTAACCCCCATCACACCATCAACCCCCCATCACACAGTTAATCCTCCATCACACAGTTAACCCCATCACACCATCAACCCCCCATCACACACTTAATCCTCCATCACACAGTTAACCCCATCACACAGTTAACCTCATCACACACTTAACCCCAATTGCACACTTAACTCCATCACACACTTAACCCCCATCACACACTTAACCCCCATCACACCATCAACCCCCCATCACACCATCAACCCCCCATCACACACTTAATCCTCCATCACACAGTTAACCCCATCACACACTTAACTCTCCATCCATCAGTTAACTCCTCATCACTCATTGACACAGTTAACCGTTGTTTGTTTCAGGGAGTTGAAAGAAGACACCAGTATAGATGAGTTGCCCATGACAACTTGCCAGCTCTCTCAACCCGAAATAAGCTGTATCTTGGAAATAGCAGAGGAGCTGGATCTAGATCCTGTTGTCCGTGGAACTGTGAGTAATAATTAGTAGACTGGTATATCATGAAGTGCTAGTATCAATACTATATAGAAAGGCAGGGGTCCTTGTCACTGTGTATGCAGAGCTCCAGATAAACTGCGTATCTGCGTAAAATACTCATCAGAAATGCTGAAATATGCAGTAAAATAAAATTCAAGCATATCAAATACACAACGAACATTACAGATACGCTACAAAAATATTTTGATATATTAATCAAAATATTGTGAAGTAACCCTTCGTATTCGATTAGAAACTCAGCAACTTATTTTGAAATGATAAACGGGCATTCCGTCAACCTTGCCAAACTCCACGATGACAGTTACATCATGATTATTTGCCATCACACTTTCCTGTGGAAGTATCGTCTTATTTTTGAGTCCTATAAAGCTCTCGAAACCCACACGACACCAGTTTGCAGGGACTAGATAAATAGTGTTTTTAAATATTTAACTTAGATACCCACATGTGTAATAACTAGTGGGTAACAGAAATTTGAATAAACAGATAGAATTACTGATACCCAATGATTTTAAAATGCATGGGTAAAAAACCCACAACACCAAAAGCTCATCTGGAGCTCTGGTACGTGTCTGGTCGTGGTGGTAGGTGTGTCCTGGGGTAGACTGGATAAGACCTGTTTCTGAAGAAGGAGTCCCCAGTATGAAATATTTGCCTTTTCACTGGGTGTTTGGAGACCCATTGGGTACCAAGTACTGATCTTTCTTGTGAAATCGGGGCATGGATGGCCCATTTGTCTTAGGTGTTCTCTGTGCATAGCTGCTTCCCTTCCCAGAAAACCTATGACTGTGAGTTGGAATGGCAGTTCACCCCAATTTATGTTTCGTCTTCACGATAGCCATGCTCGTGGGTTTTAACAGAGTTGTAAACATTTAAGACCTGCATCATCCTGGGCTTCCTCCCACATTAAGGTGACAGTACTGACACGCTGTGAAATAATTGAAATACTGTTTAATGCAGATTTAAACAAAACTCACTCACTCCCTTACTCACTCACCCTTATGGAATCCTGAAGCAGAATGAATAGTATTTTGATCTTTTACTTCTAAATACTTGTAAAACAACTTATTTTTCAGGGACAAAGTACACATATGGTGGTGAAAAAGAAGAAGTCATAATTGCAAGAGGAAGTGTGCATCTGCCAGAGAAATTCTACACCAGTTGAGCTTGTGATTTGAAGATACTGTGTTGACTTGTAGTGTCAGGGAGATGCTGCCGACTTTGGTCAAGGTTCTGCTGGTTAAACTGGAGACGTGACACTTGTTTACCATCAGGTCCACCAGAGGAGGATATCTCTTTGGGCTTGTTGAAAACAGTTAAGCCAGGGGACTACAGAAGGCCCACTGATTTCACTTTGAAGATCAAATCATGTTTCATTTGGTTGAATCTCAGCACTGAAGATTCAGTTTCACCACTGATGACCTCAGTAACATTCAAGTAACATTCAAGCAATAATCAAAAGTGTTTTCTAGTCATTCTTTTACCAGACGCACAAGGCCATGTTCCACATGGCTGTCATGGCACTACGACTTTCATAACTCCCATACTTAAACGTAGTCATAGCGCTAAGACTTCTTTGTGCAACAGGGCCCTGAACAGTTCTGCTATTACATTCCTGGGCCCCGTTCCACAATGCGATCTTAGTGCTAAGACTGTCGTAAGTCTATGTTAAAGTATGGGAGTTACGATCGTCTTACGGCTACGATCGCTTTGTGGAACAGGACCCTGCTGTATACTTTAGAGTGGGCCCACTTGCACAGAGTGATCTTACTGCTGAGACTGATGCCACTCCTATTCTGTAACATAGAGTTACAATAGTAGGGTTCAGATTACACTTCGCAAGTGGGTCCTAGGCCCTCTCCCACGAAGCAGTCTTAGCACTAAGACACAAAGCCGTTGTAACGCCCATGCATAAAACACAAACTTACGATAGTGCCAAGATTGCTTTTCTGAAACTGGGCCCAGGGATGAAAATCTTCCGCAGAGTCACTTTTTTTAATATATGCCATTACACGATATACACATAAATCATACAGTGCCCCAGACCTACCAGCTGGCTTTCTCAACCATGAATGCCAAGGACCACCTGGCCTAGAGCTGCCTCGTAAACAGGGCATTGTGTAAAACTCCTACCTTAGATCATGTGTTTATCATTTGAGAATGTGTTTGTTTGTTTTTTAATATTTTTAATTTTTGGAAATACATTTTATTCACAGAGAGATGGATTCATTTTGTCAGCGATAGACATTGGCACTATGGCCCTCTAGCCAAACTAGTTAAGGTATTTTAAGGACTAGTAGAAATTTGCCATTTTTAAGAATTTTGCTATATATTATCTTCATAAGGATTGCTGGATTATAAATCTTAGTTTCTAACGCTGTTTGTTTAAAGTAACCTCAGCTTGTTATTTTCTGTTATATGTCATGGCTGATCACTATTTCAATGCCAGTATTACTTTTCTTTTTATTAAAACCTTTCAGGTTACTGGACCTAACATAAGTTATCTGTAAATCTTTGATTTTGGTTGTGTTCATGATTATATTGTTGCTCTTACGAATCTATATATCACCGTTGTCATTATAACATTGTGCCCTTGGTTGCTTTTAGTTTGTCATTGTTATTAATTTAAGGTCATCTGAAACATTATAGGTTCAGGTGAGCTTATATCAATGTCACTAATCTGTATGTCATAACCTTTTACATTCTTACACGTCCGTTGTAAAATTGAGGTCTGTAAACATTAAAAACAGTCATTTGTTGAATGATGTTCTGGAGACAGGCGGTTAAAGCATTATTATTATAACGATGTAAACACGAGAGGGGGACATTATGGTGGGGATAAAGCAGCACAAATGGATAAACTTTTTGTTGAATTTTACAATAACTAATAGTTGGTTGATTTTCTGTCTTCAATATATTTCTAGTTTCTTTCATCTAGTATTTCATGACAATTTGGGGGGCAAGGGTGGCCCAGTCGTCTAAGGCGCCGCGATTCGCTGTGCAGAGTTGCGTCCCTTGGGCACACCAGAAACCTATGGTTGTGGGTTCGAATCCCCGTTCGCCCCGATTATGTTTGTCAGCACCATACCCATGCTCGTGGGTTTCACCAAAGTGGTAAACGTCTGAGACCTGCATCACTTCGGGCTTTCCTCCCACATTAAGCTGACACGCCGCGGTATAACTGGAATACTGTTTAAAGCGGCATTAAACCCAACTCACTCACTCACTCATGACAATTTGTAAGTAAACTTGATATTGCCCGTTCTGGTTTGGGTAGAAAAGCTTCCAAATGTGTATATTTTGTTTCACTGTGATAATGGTGATAATGCTGGGGACATCAACAAATTCAGGTCCTGTTGTAGAGTCAGTATGAGCTGAAGACAAATTCAGATCCTGTTGTAGAGTCAGTATGAGCTGAAGACAAATTCAGATCCTGTTGTAGAGTCAGTATGAGCTGAAGACAAATTCAGATCCTGTTGTAGAGTCAGTATGAGCTGAAGACAAATTCAGGTCCTGTTGTAGAGTCAGTATGAGCTGAAGACAAATTCAGGTCCTGTTGTAGAGTCAGTGTGAGCTGCAGACAAATTCAGGTCCTGTTGTAGAGTCAGTATGAGCTGAAGACAAATTCAGATCCTGTTGTAGATTCAGTATGAGCTGCAGACAAATTCAGATCCTGTTGTAGATTCAGTATGAGCTGAAGACAAATTCAGGTCCTGTTGTAGATTCAGTATGAGCTGAAGACAAATTCAGATCCTGTTGTAGATTCAGTATGAGCGGCAGACAAATTCAGATCCTGTTGTAGATTCAGTATGAGCTGAAGACAAATTCAGATCCTGTTGTAGATTCAGTATGAGTTGCAGACAAATTCAGATCCTGTTGTAGATTCAGTATGAGTTGCAGACAAATTCAGATCCTGTTGTAGATTCAGTATGAGTTGCAGACAAATTCAGATCCTGTTGTAGAGTCAGTATGAGCTGAAGACAAATTCACATGTAGGAGTTGAAGATATCATGGCTGAACGTGTTGCTGATGTGAGGATCGTGTATACTAGGGCTGGGATGAGTCCAAATTTACTACCTGGATACTCAGCCCCCTATTACCTGACCCTACCCGGGTACCCGCTGCAGGTCTCAAGAGATAGATACAAAATGTTTGATCATCCCCCGTCCGTCCGTCCGTACGTCCATCTGTCATGTTTCGTTTCCGGCGCATAACTCAGAAACTGTTCAATATTTTTGTCATGAAACTTTGCAGGTCTGTTAAGATCATGCTGAACCTTGCTATTTAGAAATTTTAGAAATTTTATTTTTTATGTTTCCATGGCAACAAGATGGACTTAGGTTCTGTGAGGGTAGGGTTCGTTTCCGGAGCATAACTCATAAACCGTTCAATATTTTTTCATCCAACTTTGCAGGTCTGTCAGACACATGCTGAACTGGTGCCTTTTCCTATTTAGAAATTTTAGAAAAATCTATTTTTTACGTTTCCATGGCAACAAGATGGACTTAGGTTCCAAACTCTTCTTTTTTTTACAATTTCCATGACAAGTTCCACTTCGGTTAATAAAAGTAGGGTTTGTTTAGATTTAATTATGTCATAAATTCTGCAACAGGGGCGGGGGATATAGCCACGTTAGTGGCAAACTCTTGTTGGGAATAGTTTGACCGTAGCCCTGGACAAAATGTATTAAGATACACGTTTAAAACAATCTGGTCATGCATACACGGCAGTTGACTATAGCTTTATCTTTATTCAAACATATAGAATTCAGAAGGAATGGGTGCATGGTCAGAAAGAAATGCGAACATCAGTGACTTGTAGTGTAGCCATATACAGTTGTAGATCACAATATATCACGTGACTAACCACGGGTCCAGGTAGTCCTGTGGGTACCCAGGTCCTTCTCAGGACCGACCCGAGTACCCGAGTACCCGAGTTACCCGTACCAGCCCTAGTGTATACCATTACAGCATGGAACCAGGTTCCTACTCCGGTAATAATCTTGGTGGGTCCAAGTCATGAAGGTCTGAGGGTGGCGACGCAGTTTCCAAGAATTTTACTGTCATGTCATTGCACATGCTCAGAAGCCTTTAGCCTTTTATGGATAACTTCAATGTTAGGTGGAAGAAAATTAACCATTGATAATCTGAACTTTTAGTTTTTATATTACTAGAAAAGCACTATCAGTCATAAAGTACAATTTTGATCAGTTTTAATGATTCAAGCAGCCAATGATTTTGTGTTCCCAGGACTCGGGTAATTAGTTTTGTTCCTTTGTATATGTATAGGATGCAATAGTTAGCATCCAGTATAAGCCTGACTTATGTCAGCTAGGTTGTCCTTTATCTACATCGTGTCTGACACTGCTGGCCTGAAGATAGACAACAGATCCATGCAGTGGGGTTATGTACACTTGGATGCAGAAATAAATCAGGTTTTGATATGAACATTTTTGTTTTGTGTTTGAAGTTGGAGTCTTTAGGTACACAGTACTTGTATTACAACATGAACTTTGTCCCCATGTCATAACCTTGAATTTAAACCTATTATTATACCCCCGACCTTTAAGGTCGGGGGTAATATAGTTATACCAAGGTTCCGTCCGTCCGCCTGCCCGCCGTCCATCCATCCGAAAACTTTGTCCTCACGATTTCTCTTAAACTATTCAGTGGATTCATCTCAAACTTAGTACATATAATCTGTGTCATATGGAGGGGTGCAGTCAAAAGAAAAAAATTGTTTTTAGTAATTTTCCATTTTTTTATGAATTTTTCAAACCCTAACCCTATCCTAGCTATTTAATTTGAAACTACTGACACACTAGGCGGGTGGGGGGTATTAGTGGGCCACTCTCACTTTTGCACTTGTTTATCACTGAATCAACAAATGAAGTCGTTATCAATGTTACCACTGCGAACATTGTGCTAAAACCGAAATTGGTTATCAATGATAGATTGTTTTTGTCTTCAATAATAATTAAATTATTTAAAATTTTGCCTGAAACAAATAATGTAATGCCCATATCCCCCGTATTCCACCTCCAGCAGATGTATGTCCTATGCATTCACACTCAGTTCATTTAATTACATAATTTGTTTAGAGGGAGATACTGGCGGAAGTCTTACCCAAATATTCAGGTGAAGTACAAAGCCTGATTGCTCTAAATTTTTTTATGCACCATGAACAATTTGGGCTTTTGAGATGCCCCCCAAATCTCCCTCTCAAAGCTCTGATGATAAAGTACCTCACCTGTCAAGTTAAGAAGGCCAGTTTACATAATGTAGCCAGATGTTGCCCTCCATATGTGGGCTGTCAGTTTGTAAGCTGTTGACCTCTTGGGATTTCAGTTTATCGTCTCAGTTAGGTTGAAATTATGTAAGATGTTTGTAGCCATCATTACATCCCTACCTGTGTCTCAGCATCACAAGGAAAATCTCAACGCCAAAGAGTAGATGTTGAACACGTTTCTACACCATACAGAAATGTGTGTCCAGTATGCCCAAATGTATAGAATGGACCAGACAAAGAATATAAGGCATGCTAAGGGATACACAAAAACATGCCTTGTACCAAATTCTTGACAAGAAATATAAAGGTCATGTCATAAAAGTAATGATCAGATCTTACTGTAAAGAGCACCACATAATTTCATTACTTTTCAGGACCCTCATATTTCCTGTAAGAACCCTTTGAAGTAATTTTTGGGATCCAGGGGGGCGTCTAATTTTGTAGGTCATGGCAAAACCCTAATTGTTAACTTTATAATACTCGCGACCTAAAAGGGTAGGGGTGTACCGTTATACCAAGGAATTCCATGTCTTTCAGCCCGAAGAGCGGAAGGTCGGGGGTTCGGTCCCTGGCAGCGTCATACCAAAATACGTTAAAATATGGTACTTGTTCAGTCTGGCGCTCGGCATTTAGGGGCTAAAAAAAGGCTGGTCGGCTCGGAGTCAGTATACTGTGTCTGAGTGGTGTATTCATGTTCAACTTCGGCATGGTATCTCGGTAGGCTGGCTCTTTAAAGCGGTATCAGTGCAGACTAGTACAAGCACACGCACGCACGCACGCACGTTGAGCAATCGTTATGTATAATCAGAAGAGTGATTGGTATGCTCTCTAATCTCGGCGTCAAAACCTAACTTTCTCTAAAGACTATGTAAACTGCCGGGCAAAAGAAAGTATACTCTTGAAACTGGATTTGACACAAAATTACAAACGTTATCAAAGCGTTACTAGGCTGAAAACACTGCAAACTTAAGGTCCAAAACACAACTATATGATACCCGTATCAAATACATCACCATCGAGGGCGGTCGGGTAGCCTAGTGGTTAAAGCGTTCGCACGTCATGCCGAAGACCCGGGTTCGATTCCCGATATGGGTACAATGTGTGAAGTCCATTTCTGGTGTCTCCCGCCGTGATATTGCTGGAATATTGCCAAACGCAGCGTAAAATCATACTCACTCACATCAACATCGAAATACCAATTACCAAACCGCGCTCTCCTCCCTAATGTTTGGGTATCATTTTATAGTGTTCGGGCCAGGCCTGTCTTTGTCACATATCACAATATCTAGGCTTCCTCTTGATCCTGAGGCACACGCACTCTTTGATAAGTTTAAGAAACATGTACAATCCTTCACCGGATTGCAGGAAATGTGCGATTGTATCGGGCCAAAAAAGTTTGGATTAAAAATTCTACGGTACAATAGGGACACAAAGAGAAATTTGACATATTTCCTAGACTATATCAATGACACTAGTTACACCCTTTGTAATACTGGCCCCGATGAAGGATGCCTGCTGAATTAAAACAGAGACCATATAATATGGTCTCTGATTAAAACAATAGATAATTCAGTGATCCCTAAGGCTAATTAGACATTTACAGTGTTTCGTATGTTAACCTGTTATAATATACAGTTATTTGTGCCCTAAGCTATATACTTACCTGGTGATAATATCATAATATTTGTTGAAAAATTCATTTGGCATTTTTGTGAAACAAATATGCGACCCCAAAACATTTTCGCGACGATTTTATTGAAAAAGAAGAAAAATGACTGCTTAATGAAAAAGTACCCTAAATTTTACTGCTTACTGCTTATGGGACCCTCCCATCAGGACCCTCATTTATCAACTAACTTCATCTTGCAAGTGATGCAACCATTCCTCTCTCCGGGCAGACTCTACCACTAGACCATGGAGGCGGTCTGATAAATACCCAGGAGGCGTTCATCAGACCCGTGAAGATCCGAGGTAGAATAGGTCTTCAGCAACCCATACCTGCCATAAAAGGCGACTATGCTTGTCGTAAAAGGCGACTAACGGGATCGGGTGGTCAGGCTCGGTGACTTGGTTGATGAAGGGCATCGGTCCCAATTGCGTGTATCGATGCTCATGTCGTAAATCACTGGATTGTCAGGTCCAGACTCGATTATTTACAGACCACCGTCATATAGCTGGAATATTGCTGAGTGCGGCGTTAAAAACAACAAACCAAAACCAAAAACATGTGACTTGCCTCACTAGATACTGTACACAGTAAAGTATCACCATGTCTTTTCTTGTGTCTTTAATTTTAGCCACAAAACATAATCAACAACAATAAACAAATTAATTGATTTGCAAATGTCGATGTACATGTATTCAGAGGGTAGGTGGTCGGCCTGTTGACTCTCACTTTGGTGTATTATGAATCGTTTTTAGTGAAATCTATGATCATGATGATGTTTCCTTTTAAAATTTAAAATCATAGCTAGATTTTCTCAACATGGTCAATGTAAATTTGGTCATTATGTCATGGAAAAGCATTCTGATTGGCTGCCGCTGAGAGCTTTCCAGTAAAGCTGTTCTATTTTTGGATATTGGGTTATCCAGCATTAGACAAAGCTGATATGTCATATGATATTTTCAAGGGATGTGTCCGTTTCAAATATTAATAGGATTGTACAGTTAATTAAGTTCTTGACAGACTGAATGATCTGCATCACGACTGATGCAAGGGAGAAATAAGCTATGATCATGGCACGTCAGTCTGTTTAGTTGTTGTCATTGTTTTGTTCAGGCTGACGACATGGCGGTTCGTCTGGAAGAAGGTATCGACCTGAATGACCTCCGACAAAGTAAAGAAGTAATCCTTTCCTTGGCTGAGGACCAGGAACAAGGTATGAACCGTCTTTGTTGTTTATCAGCAGTTCATAGCTAATCATGCTAATGTGGGGGCATGGTTGATATTTGTCATCTAAGGCACTACGCTGTGCAGAGTTGCGTCCCTTAGGCCTGCTAGCATCCCAGACTCGCCCAGGTTATAATGTGTGGTTTGTCAGCACTACACCCATCTCACACCAGTAGATTGTAGTGTTCTTGTGTATACTATGATTAGCTCAGACTACTATATGAACCAAATTATTTTGGGACTCACGCCTGAAATGTTAATATACGACAGATGTATTTTACAGAATTTAATTGCCTGTAATTAAGGGTGCATATTACACATGAGTGTGTATTATACACGAACAAATAAGTCTTGTGTACATTGATCAATCGGAAGGGTTGCTAATTGGGATTGTTCACTAGCCAATATCTTAGCAAATATCGCCATGGGCGCTTATTAGAGTGTGGCGCTTATTACGTTGAATACGGTACCATTTATTTAGGTAAATAATTGCCTTGTTAACTTTTGCTTTCAGTTACATGTCTTTCATACAATATATGGTGAAAGTATTTGAAAGTCAGTGTTGTTTTAAGTATCACGTATTTGTTTACACACTCTTATTTTCTTTCAGAAAGAAATCAAGACCTCCAATTAGACAATGATTACTTTGATCCTGAGGATGTGTTACAAAATGTCTTTCCTGAAGGGGAATTTGATTCGGATGAGTCTGAATCATTGTTTGTCCGGATGGGCAGAAACATGCACGACGTGACCGGAGATGGGGGTGTGATGAAGAAGATCCTCACCCAAGGAGTTGGCTCCGACTTGGCCCCTGATGCTCTTGTCCGGGGTAAGGTGCTTTGTTACAGCATTGAATCATCGTCTTGTACAGAAACATGGAGTATTTTTGTGTTTTCGGACATCCTCACACAAGAACATACAGAATTGCAATTGATTTTGTTAATTTAGTGAAGGCATGACCATGATAAAGAAAGAGTCCTTTTGTTATTGACGGCATTGGGCAAGTGTTTTTCAAACATGCAAGTAACAGGCCATCTGATTGGCTGAATATGTGAAATCGTTCAACAGTATACCATGATATGAAATACTAATGAATACGTATCACAATACATTTGGGTAATACTGGTGTAGTGCGTTTTTTCAAAATCATGCATATTTTCTTGCTGGCAAAGTTTACCTAAGTGCGAAGTCGAATTGAAATTATGAAATTAGCTACTGTTTTCATCGAAATAGCAGAACTATTCACATGATTCAGGACCAGTTTCCTGTATGATATGTATCTACGAAACATGCACTGGGATGTTGCAACATCCAACAGAATGACAGACGACTACAAAGTTTTCAAAAATGTGTGGGTAAGTTGGGGTTTTTTTCAGGCTCATAACATATTACTAAACGCATGCAATATATTTTGTTTTCAGTACACTATAATGGCTATTTAGAAGATGCAATTGAGCCTTTTGACTCCAGTCGACTGCGGAAAACTGTAAAGAAATTTCGACTCAACAAAGGTAACGAAATATGTAGATGTCAAAACGAGAAATGTGTGATGGTTTACATGTTTCTATTTCATTGCGATGTTTATGGAAGTTAATCCATATGTTATGAATACACTGTCTGCACGTCTCATTACATCAGGGGCACAGGTGGCCCAGTCATCTAAGACACCGCATTTTGCTGTGCAGAGTTGCCTCCCTTGGGCACACCAGCAACCTGTGATCATGGGCTCTCCCTGATTGTGTTTCCAGGTTTGTCAGCATCATACCCATGTCCGTGGGTTTTACAAAGGTGGTAAACTTTTTAGAACTGCATCACTTCAGGCTTTCTTCCCACATCAAGCTGACACGACGTGATATAACTGAAACACTGTTAAAAGCGGCATTAAACCCAAGTCACTCACTCACTCACTTGAATAAAAGACCAACACTTCTAGCCTGTGTTCCTTTTACCACCATCTGAACATGCTGAGATTTTGTCTGCAATTTAAGATAAATGTGTGCAGACTTTGTTTTATGTTTGATATTTATTGATATGAAACTACTTTAAAAAATTAACACATACTTCCTGATTAACAAAGTACCATTGAATTATCTTTGCAGGAGAGGTTTTCACAGGGTTTGACGTAGCTGTGAATTCCATGAAGAAAGGAGAATTATCCAGGTTCCTGATAAAACCTGAGTATGCCTTCGGCGCCATGGGCTGCCCCCCTCGCATCCCTGCTGATGCCACTTGTAAGATACTCACCCTTACTGGGACATGTGGGACTCGGGTTAGAATAGGTCCCCAACTGTGTCCATCTTCCTGTGGCAAGGAGTTAACTTACTATGAAAGTCTGGTTTCCTTCCTTGCCGAACGAGGCTGGAATTACGGGGTTTGATCGTAGTGCCATCAGTGGCTATTACAAGTTATGTCCCTCCTACGTCGATCCTATTGACCAATCAGATTCCACCTATCATATTACTTGCACTTGCTTCAAATAAAATCAAGACTTAGATCGTAATAAGAAGTGTCTCACCTTGCAAAGTGCATCAAATTACTTGAGCACCTTGATTAAAAACATGAAAAGATTTGGAAAATATCTGTCAACGCCCTTTTGACGATACACATACTTTGCAAATCCTGCAATCGACTGAAATCTACACTGTGGTTTATGAACCAGATGTCAATATCGTTACACAATTTTGATTTGACTATGCATAGACTTGTTAGTCCTGCCAAAAAACACAGCTCCATAATTCCAGCCTAGTTCAGCAACTCTCTTGCCTTTGGAACATGTCTCTGGTGAGGCGACTAATAGGACCAGGTCGTCAGACTGTCAGACCATTGCATGTCCTCATATATCTAAGGTCTGGAGTATTGGTTGTTGTATATAGACCTGTGAAGATCCAGGGTAGAATAGGTCTTCAGCAACCCAAGCTTGCCGTAAAAGGCGACTATACTTGTCGTAAAAGGCCACTAACAGGATCGGGTGGTCAGGCTTGCTGACTTGGTTGATGCATGTCATCGATCCCAATTGTGTGGATCAATGCTCATGATATTAATCACTGGATTGTCTGGTCCAGACTCGATAATTTACAGACCACCATCATATAGCTGGAATATTGCTGAGTGCGGTATTAAACAACAAACCAACCAAACAATGGTTGTTGTATAGTGACTGGTTTTGTCTGGATCAGACTCAATTAGTTACTGGCTGCCATGATATGGCTGGAATATTGCTGACAGTTGCATTTTACAACATTCTTTGCTTCACTGTATATTTATTGTCACCATTAGAGTTCATGCTTGTCATAGATGACTAGATTCAGGGTGATTGTGTGAGCAAGCATTATATCCTACCTAAATATTATCCTGGGGGAAGTTTTATTCTAGAGTATAGTATCCTACCTTAGTGCCACTCTGGAATGGGTTCACATTCACCAGGGAGAATCATCCTGACACTAGAGAATTTCATCCCGGGGATAAAAAATAGGGTAGGATAATATTCATTCTTGCAATTGCACAATGTGGTACAACGTGTGACCTGTTTGGTGGAGTGTCACCGTACTCTGACAGATTGAGTCCACCTCGATGGTGAATAGTGGTAGAGCATCTGCCTGGACAGTGGAAGGACGGAAGTTCAGTCCCTGAAAGACATTAAAAGATGGTACTTGTTACCCTGCCTGGAGCCCAGCATTAACATGATTAAGGGGCTATAACAAGGACTGGTCGGCTCAGAGTCAGTATACTGTATGTGAGTGGGGTATTCATGTTAAACTGCAGCATGGTATCTCAGTGGGCTAGTAGGATTAAATTTGCATTGGTCTGGACTAGTACCATCAGACGCATGCATGCATGCCGTTATATAAGTGCAATAACAATCTTGGATGCGACAGTAAACCCCATTTCACCTCACCTCTGACAGCTGGATGAGTGCTCATGTTATTCCGAAGATTTGATTATGTTCAGCCTCCAGGGACAACTTATTCAATCCTGAGGTTCTCTTATTATTCTCAAATTTCTGAAGGCTGTGAATTAATTTACTTTAGTTTTAAAAGTCGGTCATTGAACATCTCAGGCAGGCATATGTGAATTTTTTATTCATAAGTGTGATTATCAGGCTCACATGGTAATAAAAAGAGCTTTAGCTGGATTTCTTTCAACACTTTCCTGAATTTTTAGGGTTGGCAGGTCCGAGTGATTAGAAATAAATCACTAATCTGTGTGACTCTGCTAATGGATGAAGACAATGATTAATACCATGTATTCAGGTCATGGACTGCTAATGGATGATGATGATGATGATGATGATGACTATGTGTTTCAGTGATGTATGAGATCCAACTGCTGAGTTTCGTGGAGAAGGAAGGAGTCGATGACTATTACAGTATGACAGACGTAAGAGGAACTTTAAGATTTTACAGACTTGTCTTTCTCAACAATCCCCGAGTATCCATGCTATGCCCTGGCAGTATATCAACAAACAATATTGACTAAATAGTTCTGACATGAACATATTTTCAAATGTCCTCCTTTGTTCTTTGAGCATCATCCACTCTCAACAAGTCAACCCAAGGGTGATCTTAAGTTGCATAGCAACCAGGCATGTGACAAAGTGCGTTGGTTGCCATGAACGTTCAGGTGGGAATGAACCAAATATTATGATTGTAGGCAAAACCACAAGTGGCTCACAAAAACATGGTGTGTTAGTCCTCTAATTGAAATATGTCCTTAAAAGTGACCTTTTGTGGCCTTGAAAAAGCATGAAATGCCTGTATTGAACTGAGCAAATTGTGTATGAACTGTGACTGACATTGCATGGGATGTTTCATTACTTTACTTTCAGGAAGAAAGAAGAATGCTGACATTTCCCAAGTTACGTCAAGTTGCTAATTCAGAAAAGCAGGTATGTGTGTTTCAGTGGAGTATCATAAAGCAGGTATGTGTGTTTCAGTGGAGTATCATAATGCAGGTATGTGTGTTTCAGTGGAGTATCATAAAGCAGGCCCCTATCGGATTGGATGACATAGAAGGTCAAGGTCACTAAGTGTGAACTTGGTGTTGCAAAACTTTGTTTGCACCTCTACTTGAATATTTATGACTGGAATATGATAAGACTTTGTATACATGATCTCTAAGTGGGGTTTCGATCACATCCTCTTTTGAATAACCTATAAATCCTGAAACATGGTTCAGATTTCATGAAATTTTGGATTCATGAAGAAATCAAATGTTCAATCGGTTTGTCATGTTAAAATGAACTCAATAGCTATCATATGTCGGAATGTGTCAAATGTCAAGGTCATTTTAAAGGTCGTTTTCTCATGAAAAGTATTGTTTGGACACCTCCTTAATTTGCAACACATAATGTTCTCTTATGTGTGATTGAATGTTATAAGGTTACTTGGTGTGTAGTAGACCTCCAAGAAAGCTTGTGTACAGGATATCTAGAGCATTTATGATTGGAATATGACCAAATTTTATTTTCATGAACTCAAGGCAGAACATAGTTTTGATTGAAGGTCAAGGTCATGCAACCAAAAGGGCTTGTGACTTTGTTATTCAGATAGTGAGAGGCATAGGACTTTCTGTTTCAAAATTGTATTGCAATGGGTGTGTGTTTTTGAAATTATAAGACCGAAATGTAGTATCCAATGGCAAGGTTGTTTGTTTTTTTCAAATTTTAGATTGAGCAAAGAGACATGTCAAGAGAAGTATTCATACACAGTGAAAAAAACGTGGAATCCATATAGCATTTGCAACTCATTAGACTGCAGCACACACTCTTATTCAGTTCTTCAATATTTTAGGAAGGAAATGAGTACTACCGCGTGAACAACTTCCGGCGAGCCGTGGGGAAGTACCGGATGGCAGTGCGGATCATCGAGGATGCACACCTGAAGGACTACAAGGAACAGCAGGAGCAGCGCAAGCTGTTGCTGAAGCTGTACCTCAACCTGGCCCTGTGCTGTGAGAAGCTGGGGGAGGTCAAACATGCCCTCTACAACTGTGCCAACGCCTACAGGATTGAACCCAAAAATGCCAAGGTGCTTTACCACTATGGAAAGGTAAGGTGTTGATGGCCAGTAAGGCTTGGACTGATCTGTGATTGTTAAACTGTAGATCATCAAATTAATCCAAGCTTTATGTTAATGCAAAAATGGGAGCGTCCATTGCTTGCAGTGATAAAGTGATGCTTTTTTTATGTGGACATATTGGAATATTCTGTCATGTCAGGTTGAAACAATGACATATAACACAGCTCACAATAAACAATGTCATTGAGTAGAGTTATACTGGTATGTCACGATTTGAAATTCTAATGAATATGTATCATAAAACGTTTTGAAATATTGCATTTACATAAGTGACAATTAGAATGAAATTAAGAAATTGAGAAGTTAGTTGATTCCTGTGATCGAAAGAGCAAAACTATTCACGGCCAGGGCCTTCCCGAAGTGGAAGGTCGGCACGCCCAGGGCCTTCCCGGAGTGGAAGGTCGGCATGCCCAGGGCCTTCCCGGAGTGGAAGGTCGGCACGGCCAGGGCCTTCCCGGAGAGCGGAAGGTCTGGGTTTCATTCCCCATCCACTTCATACCAATAGGAGACTGCCTCCCTGGTCTAGAGGTAGATCGTTAACCCGGAGAGCGGAAGGTCCGGGTTTCATTCCCCATCCACTTCATACCAATAGGAGACCGCCTCCCTGGTCTAGAGGTAGAGCGTTTATCCGGAGAGCGGAAGGTCCAGGTTTCATTCCCCATCCACTTCATACCAATAGGAGACCGCCTCCCTGGTCTAGAGGTAGAGCGTCCGCCCAGGGAGCGGAAGGTCCTGGGTTCGATCCCTGGCCGCGTCATACCAACAGGCGTTAAAAGATGTTACTTATTGTTACCATGCCTTGTGCTCATCATTAAAGGGCAAAAACAAGGACTGGTCGGCTCGGAGTCAGTATACTATGTGTGAGTGGGGTATTCATGTTTAACTGTGTCAGAGGGCTAGCACTATTAAAAAAATTGGCATTAGTCCGGAGTACCGTAGTACAAGCAGCCACACACCAAAGAATCAACTTGTCTGATTGTTGTTCTATCATCAATTTCACCTGACGTGTAGTTTCTTATACAACACATACCCGGACAATTTAGGATTTCCTTCCACATAACATCATGTTAATATTTTCTACATCATTTGTTTTTAAAGTATTTCCAGTAAATCAAACTGATCCTGCTTCCAATCAGGGCTCCATTCTTGGCACATTTTTATTCGGGAGTGTTTTTTTATTGCTATTTAAGGTTCTAGAGAACGAGTTGTCATCTGCAAATTCTGAGCCAGGTCACTCAGTAACCAGGAAACTCGGTTGATGGCAAGGTCACATGACGATGACTTGTCAGATACTGGTCTTTGTTTTCTTCATTGATAACCATGACAGCGGATATAAGATATTCCTTGTAAACAAGGGTCAGTGGTCACATGATAATGACTGAGGCTGGCTTGAGACTTGTTGCCATAAGGGAAATTCAACATGTATCAATGTTGTTACATCAGATTTCACCGATGAACTTTCAAAGTAAGGCAGGTTCTATGCATGCCATTACAAGCGGAATTGGTCCACAAATTAAATGTCGCATATGAATGCCTGGTGGTAGAGGTATCAAATCACAGTTGAAGCTTGATAGTCACTTAAATTAAGTATCAATGTCGTCAGAAGCCACATACCAAGTTTACCGGTAGCACAAATCTTTTTGTTTTGTTGCTGTTCATTTTTCATCCCATTGTCAATACTGATTTGTTTCTCTTTTTCAGTCCTATAGAATGGACATGAATTTCAATATGGCACGAAGTTATCTGGAGAGAGCACAGAGGCTGCAGCCAAATGATTCTAAACTCAACCAAGAGATTCAAGAACTAAACAAGTGGGTACTGTTGTGGAGACTAGGTCATTGCAAAAGTGTTTACAAGCAGAATAGGTTTCCAGTATCATTGCAAAAGTGTTTACAAGCAAAATAGGTTTCCAGTATCATTGCAAAAGTGTTTACAAGCAGAATAGGTTTCCAGTATCCAATGTTTGTCTCCTTAATGGGATTTGGGACATGGCCAGGTGCCAGTACCCCATGCTTGTGGCTCCATGGTGACGGTCAGTTGCCAGTACCGATGCTTGTCTCTTTAATGGGACATGGCCAGGTGCCAGAACCCAATGCTTGTGGCTCCATGGTGACGGTCAGTTGCCAGTACCGATGCTTGTCTCTCCATGGGGAATCTGTGTTCTTCCCAAAATCGATGTAATCATATTGTCTATTTTCCCTGAATGCTTGTCCAGTTTTCCACATCTCTGAAACTGCCATATGGCAGCCATATTGAAAACGTCATTTTGCCTATGGCTTGGACATGTGGTTTGCAGAATAAAATATGAAACACTTACTGGGATTTTGCTGAAATATGGCAGACTGTGGCTTAAAACAAGACAAAACAAACAAAATATGAAGAAAGTATATAGGTTTCAGTTGTTTGTTTGTTTGTTTATCCTATACAAATCACCTGTTCACTTGTTGCAGGTATGAGAGGCAGTGTAATGAAATAGAGAAGGAGACGTGCAGAAGGATGTTTTCTCAGCCTACTGGTGTGACTGAAGGTAACTTGCCTCCCTTTGCTGTGGGGAGTTTTAGCTGTTAACCCATGTTCACAAGGCAACCGTATACACTAGCCTATATCAAGGTCTTGCTATTTCAAGCCTACTTTCCTGTCCTAAAATATGACAGGACTATCGCCCATATCGATAGTCTAATGTTTTACAAAATCAACATCTGTGTTCCGAAAATGTGGTCGCTGCGATGGCCGGGGCCATCACCTGTCATATTTGCAAAGTTGTTATTCTAAAAATTAAGCTAAGACAAATATTTTCGAAGTGGTTCAAAGTTTTCAGTCAACTCCCCAAAGTACTTGTATATTACATTAAGTAATACGTTACCACTGTTATACCGAGGCTGTTGTCTCCCACAACTGCTGCTATAGCGAAATCTACCACAGAGATCTCAATTACCTCATGCAGCACGTGCGTAGCCACCTAGCTGCCATGTGACACCCTTCACTCTTGTCTCTTTGCTTGCTCTAGCAAGACGTACAATAAACTGCTCAAGCGTTCCTGTTTCTCCTTTATTACTGTTTATTCTCTCTAATAAACTGTGCTTTTACGGGGCGTTTGCTGTAACTACGCTTGGAAATATTTTTCCCGCCATAAGGAAATATTTTTCCCGCCCTTTTTTTTCTATATACTTGCGGGGTGTCTCGTATGCACGTTGCGTCTTACGTTCCCCTGTTCTAGTATATCTTGGGGTTTTTGCATCACTTATTCCTCCATATGTTATATGTGTATGTTCTATATTCCCATTGCTCGTTTATTTTCTTGTGAAAATACTCGTTTGTGACTATTTGTGGTGCGTGTGTTGTAACCATGTTTTGCTCTTTGTTCATAGTACAAACAAAATGTCTGACATGGATGTTTCGCCGTCCTCCACCCCCTCTACCCCCGCAACCAGGAGCTGCGGGGTGTGCCGCAAGCGAGCGCTACCGGCTGTATGTGCAGTCCATTTCCACCCCTGTGGTGGCCGGCTCGTCCGGTCGGGGTCCCCTTGCGGGTACCACCACCACGGCTGCGGCGGATCCCTTGGCGGCCTGTGGGCTGTCCGGGGTTTCCGTCGCTGCATTACTTGCATAACTTGTGGACTCCAAGCTGGCGGCCTTATCTCCTGATAGGCCACTGGCTGTTCCGTCCCCGGCCACTTCGGTGGCCGTGGGGTCGGACGCGGGGTCCACGGGTACGGCGGCGGCTCCCGTGGTCACCGGTCCTTCCCCCGAACCGTTGCTCCCGCTATCGGTTAAGGACCGCGTGGCCATGGTTTATGACCTCTTTGAGGACATGCCCCGGCCGGTACCGCGGGGAATCCACGACTGTGGGTTCCTCCGAGGTATACGATGAGTCTTCCGACACGGCTTTCCCCGCATCAACCTTGCTGCGCGGTATCAAGCCTTCCTTGGAGAACGCCTTCCCGGCGGCCTCCGGTCGGGGTCTCCCGTTGCCCCCGACGTCGTGGAGAAAGGGTTTATTCCCGGTACATGACCTTGCCTTTCCCGAGGCTGGTCCTACCGCGGAGGCCCATGTTGAGCGGTTGGGTGTCCGTGCCCCACCGGCTGCTACGGTAACGCAAGCTACCTTGCACCAGCTGGACGCCCTCGCTCGGCACTCCATGTCTCACGGAGACACTTACTTGGCTGCAGCGGCCCGTCTGGTCGAAGGTTCTCCCACGGACCGTGACCAGCGCATTTACAACTGCCTGCTCAGTTTAAATGCTTCCCTGGAGTACGCTGCCGAGGACTCTCGGCACACACTTGCTCTTGTTGGGTCCCTGCATAGGCGCCTGGGTGCCGCTCCTAACCGGAGCGCGCTCCAGGCTTCTGCTGCCGGTAGGTCTAAGGGGTCGGGTTCTTCTTCCTCTGGGAAGTAGCCCCGCCCTGAGGGCTCCGGTATGGGCATCAGCTGCCTTTTCGCGGGAAGACGGGGAACTGGGGGAAGCCCAAGTCGTCGACGGACGGCAAGGGCCCCTCCAGGTGACTCTCATTGGTTGGCCCTTAGGCGAACCCGAGTCACTTGGCCCTGGACAGTTGCGCCTGCCGCAGCCTGTCAGGGCCCCCTCTCCTTCCCCAGTGGGAGCCAGACTCCAGACTTACTGGGAGAATTGGGAACAAGTGTTCGATGACCCGTGGGTGGTCAACACGATTCGGTACGGCTATCGGCTTGATCTCAAAGCGAATCCGCCGCTCACCGTTGCCCCGTTGGCAGGTTTCGATTCCGAAACCGATCTTCCCATCCTCGCCGATGCCATCGGCAGGTTGGTGGAGAAGGGGCAGTACGGGAGTTAGCTCTACCAGAAATAACACCGGGGTTTTACTCCAGGATATTTCTCGTTCCCAAGTAGGACAGTGCCGAACTCAGAATGATTCACACGTCCGCTCCCTGGCTGTTCACCCGGTTAACCACCCCCATAGTGGGGTTCCTCCACAGGAGGGGTGTCCGGTACTTCGCGTAACTGGACGACTCGCTAGTAGCAAATCGAATGACGGACACCCTGTCACGCCATCTCGTTTTCGCACGTCGGCTCTTGGAGCAATTGGGGTGGATTATCAATCTCCCCAAGAGCGAGTTAACCCCTTCTCAGAACTTGCTGTTCATCGGAGGTCGGTTCAACACGGTGTCCCATCGCCTCTTTGTCCCCCCAGACCGGTGGCACAAGATTCAGGCGATGATTGCCAAAGTCTTAGCGGTGCAACAGACTGTTCACTTTTGGGAACAGCTGTTAGGGCTACTTGTATCAGCCCAGGACTGCACCGAACGGGGTCGTCTCCAACTCCGCCCGCTGCAACGGTTTTTAATCCAGTTGTTAGCAACGGAGGTGAACAGTGCAACCGTCGCCCTCCCGGATCGGCTCCGACCGCATCTGGAGTGGTGGACGGTCCCTTACAATGTCTTATCAGGAGTCTCTATGCGGCCCTACCGGGCCACGTTGAACCTGTATACAGACGCCTCTCTAGTGGGCTGGGGCGCCCATCTAGAGGGGGAGGTGAGCTCGGGGCTGTGGTGCGTAGACGAACTAGGTCTTCACATCAATTGTCTCGAGTTCAAGGCAGTGATCAACGCAGTCAATCACTGGAAGCATCGTCTCGTCAACGCCCGGCTCATGCTGGCGACCGACAACACGACGGTAGTGTCCTATGTGAACAAACTGGGGGGAACCCACATTCACTCGCTACTCGATCTCACGTTCGAGTTTTACGCTCTGGTGGACAGTGTCCCGTGCCAGATACGCGCCCATCACATCCCAGGTGTGCGGAACGTACTGGCCGATGCTCTATCGAGGCCTCAGGATCCGAGCCCCACAGAGTGGATGCTGAACCCAGTAGTGTTTCAGTGGCTGTGCGAACGTTTGGGTCGTCCGATGGTCGACCTGTTCGCAACACGGTTCAACAATCAACTCCCATTGTTTGTATCACCAGTCCCGGACCCGAGGGCCATCAATCACGATGCTCTCGCGTTAGACTGGACGGGCTTGGACGCTTATGCTTACCCGCCGACAGCGTTGATACCACACATTCTAAGCCGGCTCCGAGGAGTTCGCTGTCGAATGTTACTGATCGCGCCCATGTGGCCGAACAGATCGTGGTACCCCGACTTGCTGACCCAGGTCACGCAGTTGCCACTCCCACTGCCTGTGAGACCGGATCTCTTGATCCACCCTCACACCCGTCAGCTTCATCCAAACGCAGGGCAGTTCAATCTGCACGCGTGGATGTTGTCACCGAGCGTCTGAGGAGTAAAGTTTTTTCTCGCCGGGCGTCTCGGGCATACGTTAGTATGCATCGTGATTCTACCCAGAAGGTGTATAATGCACGTTGGGTTATTTTCACGAAGTGGTGTTGTAAACATCACATTCAATCGCCAGATAAGGTATCTGTGCAGGATATTGCTCGTTTCATGTCTCACTTGCGAGAGACCCGGAAACTCTCCGGGGGTTCCATTGCCAACTATGTCTCGTCCGTTGCTACGGTACGGGACGTTGCTATGGGTACCAGTCTCTCCAAAGAGCCGGTGATACGGGGTATTATCAAGGGTTTCAAACAGCACGATCTTAAGGTATTCCCTGTATAATGGGCAGTTTTGAAAATCATAAAACACTTTCTTTTATTATCATATACACCATTCCCTGGATTTATTTTTAAAGTTTTATCAATATTCACCGTTCAGTTAATCTGTTTCATTAACTTTTATACGCCCACCCCCCTTTCTACAAAATTCGAAATCATGGAACAGGGGTATGCATGTTCAAATGATCATGAACTTGGCATTTATTTCTTAAATATTTCATAATAGATATATATCGGCAGGGAAATCATGTAAGTTTATAAATATAAGCAGTAAATTCAATGCAGAAGTAGTGTATTGAGGCATTCAACATGTGAACTTGTAATTAGGCTTCTGAAATGCTTGTTTTTTCCATGTCTTTTTTCAATTGAGACATTGTATTTATTGCTCTGGAAGTACAAACAAGACACATAGATATGAAAACACTTCTGTAAAAACATCTGAAGTGACTATAAAATAAAAACAAGACAAAAAAACAACAATTTACCATTATTTATTAGTATTATAACCCCAATCCTAATAACACCCCCCACCCCCCACCGCTATTTTTCTGTTTGACCAAATATAATGCCACAAAGAACCAAGCCTCAACAACTCGAAAATACTAAATATAGTGACTTAGTATAATGAGTGATGGTAACATGTGTAAACAATGAATATTTCCCTGTGTTTTTTTTTTACCTTGACAATGACCTTGACCTCTGACATTAGCCTTGCCTGCAGCAGTTCACATAAAAACAACCAAGCAACGTGCGTCATTTCACCATGGAACTGTTATTATATTGTAGCAGGGAATGAGCCTTAAGAACAAATGAGTAATACATGTGAGAATTACATATATTTACTTCAAATAAAGAAAATCTCTCTCTCATAAAGCACTTGGATTTTTCCCCTGTATTCTCAACTTGCGAAATTGTCCTTTACATGACAATACTACTCAAGAATGTGAAGTTATTGGGATTTTTTGGAAAATTACACAATTGAAATGTCAAACCCATGTACATGTCAATGAGTCATTTCTAATAAAGATATGAATGAATAAATACATTTCTGTATTTCTTACAGATTTGAAAGCAAAGATGATAGATAGGCAAATACACTATTTACAATACATTATTTATATTACGTGACCATATACAATGAAAGCATGCGATACAGTACTCACGAATACACAATTTACAATGTACAAATTGGGAGCAGAAGAGCGTATGTGTCTAGTACATACATATACATCAGGTGTTTCTCTAAAATTCAAAGAGACAGTATCATGTATTCCAAGTATCATAATCAACTTAGTCATGAACATCTGCACCCAGAGACAACAAAATCATGTCGTCAAGCATTTCTATTTTCACATATACATCAACATCAAGTTTATCAGTCAGACCTGAACAGAAACGATTTCTGACTAACATAACCATCAGAAGATGACAAATTTGAAAGAACAAACCATCTGTTGCTTGGTTTAGTCCTTGTTCAGAAAAAGAGCACTAATTTCGGAATGACATCGTCAAGGGTTTTCTTTACATCTGTCACACGTGGCTGTCCCTCAGAGTTTTTACATGTAAAAGTATTGCGAAGACCATCTTCTCCATCACGCTGAAAAATTTTGCGCAGGTGACCCAGATTCAGTCCTGATCCGGCAATTTTCTCGGCAATTGACATTTTCATGACACCTTGGGCTAAGAGAGAATGGAGTGTTTTGATATGTTTGGCCTTTTCTTTGTTGAAGAGAAGTAGATTGTGGACTGCTGATGGTGGGAAACTGTACCTAGCAAGTTCCTGAATTTTCATCTTTGTGTGAGATACAAGCTTACCAAGGACCTTTACATCTTCTATGGCATTGTGTGCTTCATATGATGAGTGCAAAAAGGTCTTGGCTAATTCTTCTTGCTTGTATGACGATTGTCCAGGAAAGGCCTTCTTGAAGACAGGTAGGCTATCAATAAGACCTGATACACAGTTGAAAAATTGTGCTTCACACTGGATGTTGATCAATGCAGATGAAAATACGGGAAAATCAAATCTTCTTCCATTATGCGCTAGAAGGAATACATTGGGAAACCCACTGAGCCATTTACAAAACTTGTCAACTGCAAACTGAACAGTTTCAGGCTGAACTTGTTTCCCATTGACCGTCATTGTACCACTATTATTAACTATGATACCAGTAACCTGTTGAGCTGTAGTTGAGATTGGTACTTTTGGAAGTACATAGGTTGAGAATCCCTTTCCTGTTTCCATATCTGAAGCTGCAATCTGTGTGATATGTGGCATTTTTCCTCCACGTACTGAAAAAAAGTTCAAGCTTTAAAATCCAAGTACATACAATATGATATATAAGTACATGTATCACTTGATGCTTATTTAGGTGATGCTTTACTAATCACAGACCTATTGGCACAACAAATAAAAAATGTGTAATCATTCAAAAAGTTCATTCAAAGATGAATAATCAATTCAAACTTACTTAGGTCTGTTGTCTCCAAGTCAAATGTAATAACCGTAGCTTCTTTGCCAGCTGATACAGTCGCGAATTTCCCACGGGGTACTGCTTCAGGTAACTGCTCAACATCTACATTAGTGGTATGCCCAATACCTGTGAAATGAAATAAGTACTGTAATAAAACGTAAAACTTTTCCATATGGTACTTATTTTTTATTTATATTTATTTGCAGTCAGAGGAAGTCGGCAAAAATAAAGTTTAAACAAGCGTTTTGTTAGTTTTCTTTGTTTAATGAAAATGAAACTTACCTGACTCATAAGTGGTCCCTTCTAACACTTCATTGGCTCCCTGTGCGATTACACGTTCCTGCTTCAGGGTAACACGTCTTCTTTTTGTTGAGGGTAATTGGGATTTTCGTTGTACACGTTTTCTGCGCTTCATTTGCTTAGCAGCATATTTTACAGAAAATGTCCCGGGAGAAATTCCTGCTGCCATGTTGACCTGAAATAGAAGGATGAGTTGCTGACACAGCCTGAACAAAATAGTATGCTGTTGTTCTGTTTCTGACAATCTTTTACTTAGGAGCCTTTTATTAATTTATTTTTACAATTTAAATGAATACTTTATAAAAAAATATTTTTGTAACATGTATTTCATTGAAAAATACAAAACAAACTTACAACACTGGAACTGTAACCCTGCTTTGAAAGTCTACAAATACAAAAAACAAGAAAAACCAACATAAATTCAAAAACATTTAAAATAAACATGAAAAAGCATGCATCAAAAGAAAACAAAAGCAAAGTTGAATCACATTTTTGCAAAACAAACAACAATAAAATATGTTGAATATATACCTCAGACACATAGCTTCGTCCTTCATTAATAAAGGCTGTTGTTGCTGCAACACGAAAGTCCAGGGACTCTGAATTTCCATAATGCAAAGATTTTGGTGCCCTCAATGTGACTTCGCGATTTGCATGTTCGCACTGTTGACTAGAGCCTAAATCAGCATATTGTTCAGCATTAGCAATAACTGGCTTGAACAGTTTTTTCAGCTTTGACTGTAGTTCATCATCTTTGAGAGCTGCTTTGTAGGGTAAACTTTTATGAGTATACTTCTCATTTGATGATGTACGTCTGAAGCCACAGAATCTGGGAAAACATAAACTGTGATCTCCAAATTGATGAGGAATCAACGCTTTGAGATTTTTCTCCAGTCCTTCCTTGTTCCCTTGGTTTTTGGCGAATGCATATTTCAGACATTTCTGAATGTGCATAATCACACTCCTACTGAGCTTTTTTCCTTGCAAGGCATATAAGCTTTTCCCTATGTTTTTCACGACGTGATTTCTATCAAACCGTTTTTTCATGGTAATGTTCAAGTCTGATTTGATATGAGCAATCATAGTATTATCACCGTCTCCTTCCAGGTAATCAACAGGAGTCCCACCCTCAGAAAGCTCCTTGATGCCTTGAACCCCACTTTTACACTCCATTAACCGAGCACTACCGAAGTGATTTAGGACACATCTGTGCTTTCGGATTGGTAGTCCAGGTCTATTCCTCATCCACCACTTGCATGTGCCGCATGTTCGGTGACCCACTAGTGCTTTAACTACCTTCTTTCCATATTTGGCCTTGCTCATGAAGAACGTGTGTGCTAAAAATAAAGTTAAAAAGTTTGGTTGCATGTTTAAAATATAATTGCTGAGGCACATATATGTCAGTATATTTTTAGGCAAACAGAATCATCATAATAAAGGTGAGGGTGGGCCTCGTTGGCCCAGTGGACTAAGGTGCTACAATGGAACATATAGTCTTTCTCCTCATTTTTCTACCTTTATGGGAAGGTCCGCCACAGTACCTACTGAAAGTCACATGGGTTCTACCGTTTCTCAATCACTCATCACTGGCCACTGTCATATAGGTGAAATATTCCAAAGTGTTGTGTAAAGTAATAATAACAAAAAAATGCCTCAAATTTCTTAATATACTTACATGTAAGACTGTCAAATCCCCTTTTATGCCAGGCTGTATCAACTGCACAAGACATTCCACTTCTGGTCTTGCATGGAAATCTTGATGCAAGTCTCACACGCTTCTTAGATGTTAAGATCTTCTTGCCGGGTTGTTTGTGTGGGGCCTGAGGAATTTCTTTTATTTTGGCAACAAGGCTGGCTAGATTTGATGGAGTGTTTACACTGAAACACATAAAAAGAAAACTTTGATACACATCAATAAATGTTCATCATGTCTGGCATACCAATACAAAAATATGAATCAAATACAGCATGTACATTTTAAAAGTTAAATCCTTTCATAGCTAAAGCTAATAAGGTCTGTGAGTGAGTGAGTATGGTTTTACGCTGCTTTTAGCAATATTCCAGCAATATCACGGCGGGGGACACCAGAAATGGGCTTCACACATTGTACCTATGTCGGAAATCGAACCCGGGTCTTCGGCATGATGAGCGAACGCTTTAACCCCTAGGCTACCCGACCGCCCCTAATAAGGTCTGTGATTATACCCAGTTTCCTTGGTGCTCTTAGGATAAGGTCCCCCCACCTGGATGTTACACCAGTGAACCATTGCAGGTTAACCTGCAGTCGAAGTCGATGGCAAAAAACAGCTGGGTGGGCTGAGACAATGCAGATAAAGTGACTTGTCTAAGGACACAACAAGTATCATCAAGTGGGTTTGCTAGGATTCGAACCGGCAACATTTTGATTGTGTGCCTAGTTGGTTAAACTCTCAATCATGCACTTGGCTACATGATCAAATAAAACTATTGTTTGTGCTGAATTTTTTTCAAAATTCTCACCTGTTTGAACATGAGACTGGTGGACTTTCAATATTCGATGCTTGAGGAGTCTGGTAAGAATGTCCACTTTCATCACCAGAACTAGCCTCAACTACTGGTACAGTAGAGGAGTAGGATGACATCAATAATCTGAAATATTAAAAATGAATTATAAATTGTTTTCATGTATTGTCAAAATGTTTGTTTGAGATCAGTTATTGTTTAACTTCTGTGGTGGAGGAATTTAACTGTATAACTTTTTAGCTGCAAACACATTTTACAAATGCAAAGAACCAACCCGAATTAATATTGGTTCTTTTATGTGCTAAAACAATTTCACTCATGTAACCACTTACTCTACAGTCCCATCTGATGGATTGATCTTCCATGTCCCACAGAAATACTGAACCTATGGAAAAGTGTCTTGTTGTTTCTAAATGATATACAATAGTTGCATATACATTGTACAATGGAATATTTTCAAAATAATCTTATTTCCATCTGAACATATATCCCACTATTCAACACAAGCTATACATGTACATACTAAAAATATATAGAAAAGAATAGACCTAATTTCAGGAGGTGCGTCTGGTAGAGGACAAACTCCTAAATCTTCGATCACCTCCCCCATGATCTTTGCAGCTTGTCGACTCTCCTCTTCTGCAATGTCTCTGTACCAAAGAAATAAACCTGATGGGTTAAAGGCAGACCAAGAGCAACAAAGTGAAAAAGGAATTCCAAATTCAAATTGTTTTTTTTTTAATATCCGACACCAATATGAGATGATATTCTTTGTTTATATTCGACGATTTCCACAATATCTACACACTCAGTTGTCATTAAACAATGAATTCATTTGATTCAGAGTATCCACCATGTTTATTGTATCCTTGTGTTATTAACAATTGGTTTGAACACAAATGACTAGTTTCATAAACAAACATTGCTATGACATTGTATAGAACTTACTCCATCTCCATTCTAAATGAATCATTTGCAGCCTGTTGAGTCGACTTTTTGGCAACAGCTTCAACATAGCCTCCAGCCCTCCGTTCCATGCTTTTTAAGCTTCTCTGGTTGATGGGTTTGATATTTAATGTCGAAAGGAGATTATTCATCCTGTCTGGTCCCCCAACGCTATCGATCATAGCTGTAAATAAATATTAGCCACAATGTAATTATATCAATGTATATATTATTGTTTTAGGAATGAGGGAGGGATGTGTGCCTGTTCATATAGTTGTCAGTAAAAATTCAAAGTTAAATCAATACATTTTATAAATCGGGCATAGCTACCGCGCACCCGGCTACCCGCCGGGTCTGGGAGCAATACTGCCTTAAATTTCATCCCCCCACCCCCAAGACACAAGGACAACTGTCACAAGCGTGCAATGTCTGACCCTTTTCCCATGTTGAAGCATACTGGAAAAAAGTTTACTATACTTACTTACCTTTCGTTGATAAAATAAGACAACATTGCAAACATAAGACATTAATAAAACATATGATATCATCGTGACATGAACAATAAGAAAGGCATGACGCTGAAATATCTGATCGAAAACAGGACGATATTTGTGCTATACATCCTCGGAATGCCAAAACTTTATGATAGCATTTTATTGGTCATTAAATGTAAAACAAAAATAAAATTTACCTGTTCCAAGCTTTGTGTTGATAACAAAACATGGCATCCCTGACTTCCCCTTCTTCTCCCTGTGTGTCTTCCCGTATGGAACCATGTTTATTTGCCCACATTCCACGTTCTGACATTTCACGTACAAATAGCCGCTAAGTCCTTTCCTCATCTCACCGACAATATTCCCATACGTTAATGGAATAGGGCCCAATTTGCAGTACTTGCAAGCGACGAGATTTGAGAGAAGTTCCCCGAGCTCGACGATCCTTCGCCCTTCTTTCCATCCATCTCTGCTTGCGTATTTGCCGAGTTTGATGTTTCGAAAAAGTGGACAGTCGTCGTCCTTGCAAGGATCACCGTAGCAAACATGACAAGCTGGGTAGTTGTGGTCGATGAGCACGTTCGATTTTAATATTTTGGTGTGATTACCGGTCTTTTTCTTTTTGAATCGACCACAGCTATCTCTGTCAGTCGCCATGATTGTTTACAATAAGGGGCATAACTCTTACTCGGTATTACATCACCCGAACATTGCCGATGTTGGAAACATCGGCAAAAGTCGTAGTTTTCACCGGAAGTGTCCCATTATACAGGGAATACCTTAAGAAGGGCCGCCTTCGGGCACCGGCCTGGGATCTTTCCCTAGTGTTGCAATCACTTACGGAAGCTCCGTATGAACCCTTGCATACTGCTTCGTTCCGGCATGTGACTTGGAAAACAGCATTTCTCCTCTCCTTTGCCACGTGTATCCGAAATTCATGCACTCGATGTCGCCAAGGTACGATTCGATAGGGGTGACGAAGGAGCGGTCCGCCTGAGCCTGCTCATGGGCTTCGTCGCCAAGAATCAGAGAGTCGGGCAAACGGAGAGAGAATTCACTGTAAGATCACTCAAAGAAATCTTACATCCTGCTGATACTGAGGACAGAGCGCTGTGTCCGGTTAGGGCCCTTAAGTATTATCTTAAGGCTTCGAATGAACGTAGACAAGGGCGTGACCGTCTGTTCATATCGTGTAACCCTAATCGCACGGTTGACATAACTCGCAACTCGATTGCGTTGTGGCTTCGTTCTGTCATCAATCTGGCGTACCGGTCTCGGGGGGTTACCGGTAGCGGGGTCAAACCCGCACGAGATCAGGGCGCTAGCGGCAACATTTGCCCTACACTCGAATATCTCTGTTCGCAGAATATTACGAGGTTGTTACTGGCATTCTGACTCGGTTTTTGCCAATCATTACCTCAAACAGGTCGCTGATGCCGTCGTGGAGAGTGTGCACCGTCTTGGCCCGCGGATCGCGGCGCAAGCGGGCACCTAAGGGGTGTGCCCAGCGCAATTCCGAACTCCTCAGGTGTCAGACCTTGCACGGTGGTCAATCTGGGTCGACTCCAATGTTCCCACTGCCGTGGGTACAGGAGTTGGGGTCCCGCAAACCAGCGCACTCACACCACAGGTGAGGGCGGCTTTTTGTGTGCTTTGTCCTTATTTGTATTTTGACAATTATGTATTTAATTGTCTGTCGTGTATCCCAACCTTGTGATGCATGCTTACAAATACTGGAATTAGGTCACGCGCCTAATGCATACTTTAAGTAGGCTTGCTCTGGGATATACGGTCTGAATGAAATTAATTTCCCTCTTTTCAACTGTTTAACCTGATCTAAGATTAAGCTCACGCGGATACAGTGTTCTGATCCGCTGCGGCGATGAAATACCTATCCAGTGGGGACGTTTGGAGTCACCAATCGTTTTGGCAATGACGATTGAGCCTTACGGTATGCGCTTGACAGTGCTTTGGTATTCCTATAGGGTAACGCCTAGCTAGGTGCATGCGCATCGAGTGCTTCCGCCTTGGTGTTTACTTCCGCTGGTCGGAAGAAACGCTAGCAGTCAGGATTCGGGTTGTAGGTGCTCCCCACCGCCTACTGTGGTAGTCAGCCTCGGTATAACAGTGGTAACGTATTACTTAATGTAATTTGTAGAATTTTCCTATTCGGAATATTCTATAAGTAATACGTTACCACTGGGCTGCTGCCCGCCCGTCCGTCCCCCGAGCACTTGCTCTCGCAAGAGACAAGAGTGAAGGGTGTCACATGGCAGCTAGGTGGCTACGCACGTGCTGCATGAGGTAATTGAGATCTCTGTGGTAGATTTCGCTATAGCAGCAGTTGTGGGAGACAACAGCCTCGGTATAACAGTGGTAACGTATTACTTATAGAATATTCCGAATAGGAAAATTCTACAAATATTTAAGTGCAAATTTCTTTGTTTTTTAACTCAAACGACTAAACATGTATCACAATGACTGAGATGCACTGGTATTTGCCAGACCCATGAAGATCCGGGGTAGAATAGGTCGTAAAGCAAACCCATGCTTTGTTGTAAAAGGCAACTATGCTTGTCGTAAGAGGTGTCTAATGGGATCGGGTGGTCAGACTCGCTGACTTGGTGGATGTCATATCCCAATTGTGGATCGATGCTCATGATATCAATCACTGGATTGTCTGGTCCAGACTTGATTATTTACAGACCGTTGTCATGTAGCTGGAATATTGCTGAGTCCGGCGTTAAACAACAAACAAACAAATTATAACATCCCAGTCGTTTCTGTCTCTCCATTGCAAGTGTTCGGGACCCTGCTGCAGAATTAAGTGACCAATGTTTGTCATTAGATCATTGATGTTTGTCTGGCAGTCTCAGTGACTTGGTTCACTACACATCCTGCCCTCAAGTTGTCTAGGATTCCAATCTAGGTACCCTGGGCAGGCAAATTTGGAAAGAGATCATTGTGTTGTTTAATTTTCTGGGATTTGTTTTTTTCTCATAAATTTAAATTTTCTCTAATTCACAGCCATTGTGACATAGCATGCCCTGCAATGTTGTAAAACTAAGCCAAAAAGCCTCTTTGGTTTTTTTCATCCTGATTGGTGAAACACAAGTCACCTCTACAATACATAACATTAATATATTAACATGACTTCTGGGTCTGAATAATCTCTATGTCCAAATGATAGATATACTTTCCAGTGTTACATGATGTTAAAAAATACATGTGATAGAAGCCGTCCGAATTGGGCCACTCATGTTAGAAATCTTCTATACAGATGTTGTTTTGGTTATATTTGGTTGGGGCAAAAAGTAGGAAATTGTAAAATGTTTGTGGAGTCGTTTGGCAACGTGTTGTAGATTCTGCTGAACGAAATTGGCATGCCTCGATTCGTAAATCTCTTGAATTCTACTCTTTGTGTAAATCTATATTTGAATGTGAACTGTATTTAACAGATATTATCTCTGTATGTTATAAAAAAAACTTTGTTAATATTTGAATCATGTATGAACACGATGAATTCTCTTGGTATACAAAACTTCTGTAAAGGAAAATGTGAATTAAATGATTCAGAAGTCGTGTGTAAAACCTGTTCTGTAATAGATGATGAAAGTCTTGTATTATTTTATTGCCCGTGTTGTGCAGTAGAATGTAATTTGTACTTGCAAGAACATGCAGATCATTCTAATTCTATATTGGATGTAGACATCTTTAAATTCACAAAAATTGTTTAAATTGTCAAATTTGTACAGAGTTCTTGCATCAAAGGAGATATTAAGATGCACCTTTAAATGTCAGATTTATGTAATGTGCTATGGGTTAGATGGCCTGGAATTCTGAATAAACTGAAACTGAATCTGAATTGGCAAAACATTAATCCCAATTTGGGACTTTTTGCTGACATTTGCTGCAGACATTCAGCGGGTCCAGATGAATCTGTGGCATGGAGCATTGCTCATAAACTCGGCCACTGGTTGGCTTGGCCGCAACTTGATAATTACCTGCTGCTGTTATAAAGGTGGGGTATAAAACAACATTCACTCCTTTCACTATGACATTAGGAGGACCCCCGGGAATATTTGACAGAGAGGTAACTTGATGGTTCTGACATGGAGATTTCATAACTTGTAGATCCTGCTGTGGAAGAGGCCAAAAGGAAGGCAAGAAAAAAGGAGGAATGTAGCCCAGACTTCAGGAAATCAGTGTACGGAAAACTCAGGTGGGCTGACTCAAGTTAGCTGTCTGTGCACTCATTGCTGGAGCACATTAAGGATAAGGTTGAATAGTTATGGCTTGTTATCACAGTGTGCATGTCATTGTATCCCAATTGCGTGGATCGATGCTCATCACTGGAATGTCTGGTCCAGACTTCGTTAGACCCGTGAAGATCCGAGGACGAATAGGTCTTCAGCAACCCGCGCTTGCTGTAAAAGGGGACTATGCTTGTCGTAAGAGGCAACTAATGGGATAGGGTGGTCAAGCTCGCTGACTTGGTTGATGCATGTCATCGTATCCCAATTGCGTGGATCGATGCTCATGATGTCAATCACTGGATTGTCTGGTCCAGATTCGATTATTTACAGACCGCCATCATATAGCTGGAATATTGCTGAGTATGGCGTTAAACAACAAACAAACAGACTCGATTATTTGCAGAACCCCCCATCATATAAATTGTTTGATAGGCATTACTTTCTGGAAGTTGCAGATGACAAAGTAGACACAATTTATGAATGACAACTTCTTTAATTACTGTAAAGGTGACGTTTTGGCATAGATCCTTAAACCGTTGTCAAGCACGGCAGAATGATTTACTTACTAACTATTGAAGATTTAACTTGCGCTTTCAGACATTACCATATTTGACGTAATAAGCGCCCAGGGCCCTCTCAAAATTAGTAATCGGGGGCTCTTATTGGAATATTATTTTAATGAAAAAAAACTGAGTTGAAAGATAAATTTCATGGTTTATGCTGACAGCCAAAAATGTTTATATACGACAGATATATTTTTCCAGAATTTAATTGCCCATAATTAAGTGTGCATATAACACATGAGTGTGTATTATACGCAAATAAATAAGTCTTGAGAACATTGATCAATCGGAAGGGTTGCTAATTGGGATTGTTCACTGGCCAATATATTAGCAAATTTCGCCGTGGGTGATCACATCACACACTTAACCCCCATCACACTCTTAACCCTCCATCACACACTTAACCCCCATCACACACCTAACCCCCATCACACATTTAAACCCCATCACACACTTAACCCCCCATCACACATACTTAACCCCCATCACACACTTAACCCTCCATCACACACTTAACCCCCATCACACACTTTACCCCCATCACACACTTAATCCCCCATCACACACTTAACCCCCATCACACACCTAACCCCCATCACACACTTAACCCCATCACACATTTAAACCCCATCACACACTAAACCCCCATCACACACTTAACCCCATCACACACTTTACCCCTATCACACACTTAACCCCCATAACACACTTTTAACCCCCCATCACACATACTTAACCCCTTCACACACATTTAACCCCATCACACACTTTACCCCCATCACACACTTAACCCCCATAACACACTTTTAACCCCCATCACACATAATTAATCCCCATCACACACACTTAATCCCATCACACACTTTACCCCCATCACACACTTAACCCCAATAACACAATTTTAACCCCCATCACACATACTTAACCCCCATCACACTCATTTAACCCCATCACACACTTTACCCCCATCACACACTTTTAACCCCCAACACATACTTTACCCCAATCACACACATTTAACCCCATCACACACTTTACCCCCATAACACACTTTTAACCCCCATCACACATACTTAACCCCCATCACACATACTTAACCCCCATCACACACACTTAATCCCATCACACACTTTACCCCCATCACACACTTAACCCCAATAACACAATTTTAACCCCCATCACACATACTTAACACCCATCACACACATTCAACCCCATCACACACTTTACCCCAATAACACACTTAACACCCATCACACACTTTTAACCCCCATCACACATACTTAACCCCAATCACACACATTTAACCCCATCACACACTTTACCCCCATAACACACCACTTTTAACCCCCATCACACATACTTAACCCCCATCACACACTTAACCCCATCACACAGTTAACACCCCATCACACACTTAACATCTCATCACACACTTAACACCCCCCCCCCCCCCCCCCCCCCCCCCCCCATCACGCAGTTAACCCCCATCCCACCATTAACCCCACCATCACACACTTAACCCCCATCACACCATCAACCCCCCATCACACAGTTAACCCCATCACACACTTAACCCCCATCACACCATCAACCCCCCATCACACACTTAATCCTCCATCACACAGTTAACCCCATCACACACTTAATCCTCCATCACACAGTTAACCCCATCACACACTTAACCCCCATCACACCATGAACCCCCCATCACACACCTCATTCTCCATCAAACAGTTAACCCCATCACACTTAATCCTCCATCACACAGTAAACCCCATCACACACTTAACATCTCATCACACACTTAACACCCCCCCCATCACGCAGTTAACCCCCATCACACCATTAACCCGGCCATCACACACTTAACCCCCATCACACCATCAACCCCCCATCACACAGATAACCCCATCACACACTTAACCCCCATTACACCATCAACCCCCCATCACACACTTAATCCTCCATCACACAGTTAACCCCATTACACACTTAATCCTCCATCACACAGTTAACCCCATCACACACTTAACCCCCATCACACCATGAACCCCCCATCACACATCTCATTCTCCATCAAACAGTTAACCCCATCACACACTTAATCCTCTATCACACAGTTAACCCCATCACACACTTAATCCTCCATCACACAGTTAACCCCATCACACACTTAACCTCCATCACACACTTAACCCCCATCACACCATCAACCCCCCATCATACACTTAACCTCCATCACACACGTAACCCTCCATCCATCAGTTAACTCCTCATCACTCATTGACACAGTTAACCGTTGTTTGTTTCAGGGAGTTGAAAGAAGACACCAGTATAGATGAGTTGCCCATGACAACTTGCCAGCTGTCTCAACCCGAAATAAGCTGTATCTTGGAAATAGCAGAGGAGCTGGATCTAGATCCTGTTGTCCGTGGAACTGTGAGTAACAATTAGTAGACTGGTAATACCATGAAGTGCTAGTATCAATACTATATAGAAAGGCAGGGGTCCTCGTCACTGTGTATGCAGAGCTCCAGATAAACTGCGTATCTGTGTAAAATACTCATCAGAAATGCAGAAATATGCAGTAAAATAAAATCCAAGCGTATCAAATACGCAACAAACATTACAGATACGCTACAAAAATATTTTGATATATCAATCAAAATATTGTGAAGTAATCCTGCGTATTCGATTAGAAACTCAGCAACTTATTTTGAAATTATAAACGGGCATTCCGTCAACCTTGCCAAACTCCACGATGACAGTTACATCATGATCATTTGCCATCACACTTTCTTGTGGAAGTATCGTCTTAATTTTGAGTCCTATAAAGCTCTCGAACCCACACGACACCAGTTTGCAGGGACTAGATGAATAGTGTTTTTAAATATTTAACTTAGATACCCACATGTGTAATAACTAGTTGGTAACAGAATTTTGAATACCCAGATAGAATTACTGATACCCAATGATTTTAAAATGCATGGGTAAAATACCCACAACACCAAAAGCTTATCTGGAGCTCTGGTACGTGTCTGGTCGTGGTGGTAGGTGTGTCCTGGGGTAGACTGGATACCACGTGTTTCTGAGGAAGGATAAGTCCCCAGTATGAAATATTTGCCTTTTCACTGGGTGTTTGGGGACACATTGGGTACCAAGTACTGATCTTTCTTGTGAAATCGGGGCATGGATGGCCCATTTGTCTTAGGTGTCCTCTGTGCATAGCTGCTTCCCTTGTGTCAGAAAACCTATGACTGTGAGTTGGAATCGTAGTTCATCCCAATTTATGTTTCGTCTGCTCGTGGGTTTTACCAGAGTGGTAAACATCTAAGACCTGCATCACCCTGGGCTTCCTCCTACATTAGGTGACAGTACTGACATGCTGTGAAATAATTGAAATACTGTTTAATGCAGATTTCAACAAAACTCACTCACTCCCTTACTCACTCACCCTAATGGAATCCTGAAGCAGAATGAATAGTATTTTGATCTTTTACTTCTAAATACTTGTAAAACAACTTATTTTTCAGGGACAAAGTGCACATATGGTGGTGAAAAAGAAGAAGTCATAATTGCAAGAGGAAGTGTGCATCTGCCAGAGAAATTCTACACCAGTTGAGCTTGTGATTTGAAGATACTGTGTTGACTTGTAGTGTCAGGGAGATGCTGCCGACTTTGGTCAAGGTTCTGCTGGTTAAACTGGAGAAGTGACACTTGTTTACCATCAGGTCCACCAGAGGAGGATATCTCTTTGGGCTTGTTGAAAACAGTTAAGCCAGGGGACTACAGAAGGCCCACTGATTTCACTTTGAAGATCAAATCATGTTTCATTTGGTTGAATCTCAGCACTGAAGATTCAGTTTCACCACTGATGACCTCAGTAACATTCAAGCAATAATAAAAAGTGTTTTCTAGTCATTTTTTTCCCAGGCGCACAGGGCCATGTTCCACATGGCTGTCATGGCACTACGACTTTCATAACACCCATACTTTAACGTAGTCATAGCTAAGACAGCTTTGTGCAACAGGGCCCTGAACAGTTCTGCTATTACATTCCTGGGCCCCGTTCCACAATGCGATCTTAGCGCTAAGACTCGTAAGTCTATGTTAAAGTATGGGAGTTACGATCGTCTTACGGCTACGATCGCTTTGTGGAACAGGACCCTGCTGTATACTTTAGAGTGCGCCCACTTGCACAGAGTGATCTTACTGCTGAGACTAATGCCACTCCTATTCTGTAACAGATTACACTTCGCAAGTGGGTCCTGGGCCCTGTCCCACGAAGCAGTCTTAGCACTAAGACACAAAGCCGTTGTAACGCCCATGCATAAACACAAACTTACGATAGTGCCAAGATTGCTTTCTGAAACTGGGCCCAGGGATGAAAATCTTCCGCAGAGTCACTTTTTTTAATATATGCCATTACACGATATACACATAAATCATACAGTGCCCCAGACCTACCAGCTCGCTTTCTCAACCTTGAATGCCAAGGACCACCTGGCCTAGAGCTGCCTCGTAAACAGGGCATTGTGTAAAACTCCTACCTTAGATCATGTGTTTATCACTTGAGAATGTGTTTGTTTGTTTTTTAATATTTTTAATTTTTGGAAAAACATTTTATTCACAGAGAGATGGATTCATTTTGTCAGCGATAGACATTGGCACTATGGCCCTCTAGCCAAACTAGTTAAGGTATTTTAAGGACTAGTAGAAATTTGCCATTTTTAAGTATTTTGCTATATATTATCTTCATAAGGATTACTGGATTATAAATCTTAGTTTCTAAAGCTGTTTGTTTAAAGTAACCTCAGCTCGTTATTTTCTGTTATATGTCATGGCTGGTCACTATTTCAATGCCAGTATTACTTTTCTTTTTATTAAAACCTTTCAGGTTACTGGACCTAACATAAGTTATCTGTAAGTCTTTCATTTTGGTTGTGTTCATGATTGTATTGTTGCTCTTACGAATCTATATATCACCGTTGTCATTATAACATTGTGTCCTTGGTTGCTTTTAGTTTGTCATTGTTATTAATTTAAGGTCATCTGAAACATTATAGGTTCAGGTAAGCTTATATCAATGTCACTAATCTGTATGTCATAACCTTTTACATTCTTACATGTCCGTTGTAAAAATGAGGTCTGTAAACATTAAAAACAGCCATTCGTTCCTGCATCAATACCGAGATAACATCTGGGTTTTCAAATTTAAGTTTTTGAACGTGAATTTCATGCATGGGCAGTTTTCTAATTTGAACCTCATGCAATTCAAACACCCTAAGGAAAATAGAAGCATCTCCTGTGACATTTAGTACACTAATGATGTTCTGGAGACAGGCGATTAAAGCATTATTATTATTATAACGATGTAAACACGAGAGGGGGACATTATGGTGGGGATAAAGCAGCACAAATGGATAAACTTTTTGTTGAATTTTACAATAACTAATAGTTGGTTGATTTTCTGTCTTCAATATATTTCCGCGTTTTGTTTCACTGTGATAATGGTGATGATGCTGGGGACATCAACAAATTCAGGTCCTGTTGTAGATTCAGTATGAGCTGCAGACAAATTCAGGTCCTGTTGTAGATTCAGTATGAGTTGCAGACAAATTCAGATCCTGTTGTAGATTCAGTATGAGTTGCAGACAAATTCAGATCCTGTTGTAGATTCAGTATGAGCTGCAGACAAATTCAGGTCCTGTTGTAGATTCAGTATGAGCTGCAGACAAATTCAGGTCCTGTTGTAGATTCAGTATGAGCTGCAGACAAATTCAGGTCCTGTTGTAGATTCAGTATGAGCTGCAGACAAATTCAGGTCCTGTTGTTGATTCAGTATGAGCTGCAGACAAATTCAGGTCCTGTTGTAGATTCAGTATGAGTTGCAGACAAATTCAGATCCTGTTGTAGATTCAGTATGAGCTGCAGACAAATTCAGGTCCTGTTGTAGATTCAGTATGAGCTGCAGACAAATTCAGGCCCTGTTGTAGATTCAGTATGAGCTGCAGACAAATTCAGATCCTGTTGTAGATTCAGTATGAGCTGCAGACAAATTCAGATCCTGTTGTAGATTCAGTATGAGCTGCAGACAAATTCAGATCCTGTTGTAGATTCAGTATGAGTTGCAGACAAATTCAGGTCCTGTTGTTGATTCAGTATGAGCTGCAGACAAATTCAGGTCCTGTTGTAGATTCAGTATGAGTTGCAGACAAATTCAGGTCCTGTTGTAGATTCAGTATGAGCTGCAGACAAATTCAGGTCCTGTTGTAGATTCAGTATGAGCTGCAGACAAATTCAGATCCTGTTGTAGATTCAGTATGAGCTGCAGACAAATTCAGATCCTGTTGTAGAGTCAGTATGAGCTGAAGACAAATTCACATGTAGGAGTTGAAGATATGGCTGAACGTGTTGCTGATGTGAGGATCTTGTATACTAGGGCTGGGATGAGTCCAAATTTAGTACCCGGGTACTCACTTCCCTAATACCTGACCCTACCCGGGTACCCGCTGCAGGTCTCAAGAGATAGATACAAAATGTTTGATTATCCCCCGTCCGTCCGTCTGTACGTCCGTCCGTCATGTTTCGTTTCCGAGGCATAACTCAGAAACCATTCAATATTTTTTCATGAATCTTTGCAGGTCTGTCAAGATCATGCTGAACTGGTGCCTTTTGCTACTTAGAAACTTTAGAAATTTTTATTTTTTACATTTCCATGGCAACAAGATGGACTTAGGTTCTGTGAGGGTAGGGTTCATTTCCGGAGCATAACTCATAAACCGTTCAATTTTTTTTCATCATACTTTGCAGGTCTGTCAGGTACATGCTGAACTGGTGCCTTTTGCTATTTTATACATTTTTATTTTTTATGTTTCCATGGCAACAAGATGGACTTATGTTCCAAACTCTTCTTTTTTTTACAATTTCCATGACAAGTTCCAACTTGGTTAAAAAAGGTTAGGGTTTGTTTAGATTTAATTATGTCATAAATAAACAGGGGCGGGGGATATAGCCATGTTAGTGGCAAACTCTTGTTGGGAATAGTTTGACCGTAGCCCTGGACAAAATGTATTAAGATACACGTATAAAACAATCTGGTCATGCATACTGACTGAAGCTTTATCTTTATTCAAACATATAGAAGTCAGAAGGAATGGTGCATGGTCAGAAAGAAATGCGAACATCAGTGACTTGTAGTGTAGCCATATACAGTTGTAGATCACAATATATCACGTGACTAACCACGGGTCCAGGTAGTCCTGTGCGTACCCAGGTCCTTCTCAGTACCGACCGGAGTACCCGAGTTACCCGTACCAGCCCTAGTGTATACCATTTCAACATGGAACCAGGTTCTGACTCCGGTAATAATCTTTGTGGGTCCAAGTCATGAAGGTCTGAGAGTGGGGAATCAGTTTCCAAGAATTTTGCTGTTATGTCATTGCGCATGCTCAGAAGCCTTTAGCCTTTTATGGATAATTTCAATGTTAGGTTGAAGAAAATTAACCATTGATAATCTGAACTTTTAGTTGTTGTTTTACTAGAATAGCACTATCAGTCATAAAGTACAATTTTAATTAGTTTTAATGATTCAAGCAGCCAACGATTTTGTGTTCCCAGGACTCGGGTAATTAGTTTTGTTCCTTTGTATATATACATTGTGTATAGGATGCAATAGTTAGCATCCAGTATAAGCCTGACTTATGTCAGCTAGGTTGTCCTTTATCTACATCATGTCTGACACTGCTGGCCTGAAGATGGACAACAGATCCATGCAGTGGGGTTATGTACACTTGCATGCAGAAATAAATCAGGTTTTGATATGAACATTTTTGTTTTGTGTTTGAAGTTGGAGTCTTTAGATACACAGTACTTGTATTACAACATGAACTTTGTACCCATGTCATAACCTTGAATTTAAACCTATTATTATACCCCATCCATCCGTCCGTCCATCCGTCCGAAAACTTTGTCCGCACGATTTCTCTTAAACTATTCAGTGGATTCATCTCAAACTTAGTACATATGGAGGGGTGCAGTCAAAAGAAAAAAATTGTTTTTATTAATTTTCCATTTTTTAATGAATTTTTCAAACCCTAACCCTATCCTAGCTATTTAATTTGAAACTACTGACACACTAGGCGGGTCGGGGGTATTAGTGAGCCATGCTCACTTTTGCACTTGTTTATCACTGAATCAACAAATGAAGTCGTTATCAATGTTACCACTGCGAACATTGTGCTAAAACCGAAATTGGTGATCAATGATAGATTGTTTTTGTCTTCAATAATAATTAAATTATTTAAAATTTTGCCTGAAACAAATAATGTAATGACTTCTGCCCATATCCCCCGTATTCCACCTCCAGAAGATGTATGTCCTATGCATTCACACTCAATCCATTTAATTACATAATTTGTTTAGGGGGAGATACTGGCGGAAGTCTTACCCAAATATTCAGGTGAAGTACAAAGCCTGATTCCACTTTTTTTTTATGCACCATAAACAATTTGGGCTTTTGAGATGCCCCCCAAGTCTCCTCCCTCTCAAAGCTCTGATGATAAAGTACCTCACCTGTCAAGTTAAGATGGCCAGTGTACATAATGTAGCCAGATGTTGCCCTCCATATGTGGGCTGTCAGTTTGTAAGCTGTTGACCTCTTCAGATTTCAGTTTATCGTCTCAGTTAGGTTGAAATTATGTAAGATGTTTGTAGCCATCATTACATCCCTACCTGTGTCTCCGCATCACAAGGAAAATCTCAACGCCAAAGTGTAGATGTTGAACGCGTTTCTACACCATACAGAAATGTGCGTCCAGTATGAACAAATGTGTAGAATGGACGCAGACAAAGAATATAAGGCATGCTAAGGGAGACACAAAAACATGCCTTGTACCAAATTCTTGACAAGAAATATAAAGGTCATGTCATAAAAGTAATGATCAAATCTTACTGTGCAGTACACCACATTACTTTTCAGGACCCTCATATTTCCTGTAAGAACCCTTTGAAGTAATTTTTGGGATCGGGGTGGGGGGGGGGGGCATCTTATTTTGTAGGTCATGACCAAACCCTAAATGTTAACTTTATACATGTAATACTCGCGACCTAAAAAGAGCGGAAGGTCGGGGGTTCGGTCCCTGGCTGCGTCCTACCAAAAGACGTTAAAAGATGGTACTTGTTGTTACCGAGTCTGGTGCTCGGCATTTAGGGGCTAAAAAAGGACTGGTCAGTATACTGTGTCTGAGTGGGGTATTCATGTTAAACTTCGGCATGGTATCTCGGCATCAGTGCAGACTAGTACAAGCACACACACACATGCATGCATGCATGCATGCATGCATGCATGTCGCTATATAAGTGCAATAATCCTGGACGCAACGTTAAACCCCATTTCACCTCACCTGTCGGTGCTTCAGAGGACAATTTAGTGTGTGACCTCTGACTTGAAAATTCCTTCATAGCTTCTTTTCAAACTTCATCAACACTTTCTCTACCAATAGGAGAGGTGCAGTGCAAAGTATCATACCGTATCTATATTTGGATTTTCTAAAAAACTACAGCTGTTATTATTTTTTTACTTAAACATTTGTGCAACCTATTACTTGAAAAATACTGTGTGGATTATTTTCAAATTTAGAAAACAGTTTCCATACTAATAGAAGAGTTGCCGTGCAAAGTTTTATTTTGATGTATAGATTTTCTAAAACAAATATGATTTTGTTCATGTATTGAACTTAGAAATTTTTTTACTTGAACTTAAGAAACCCACATCTGTGACCGCCTTCTTATCATTTTGTGAGTTGTGGGCTATAAATTGAACAAAGTAATTATGTTTTAGATTGTTTAAAATAAAATTGCAAATGCCTGCCTTAATTATTAAATTGTTGCAAGGTGTTTTTCTTAGATTCTGGCTAAATGTTTAAATTAACAAATATCTGGTTTTGTAGCTAAACAAATATCTAATCTCAATACAAATCCCATTACGTATGAAGAGTTACGTCCCTTAGGCGTGCAAGGATCCCATATTCGCCCTGAATAGGATCCTTGGTTTGACAACAAAGTGGTAAAACCTCTACGGCCTGCACCAGTTTGAACTTTTCCGCCACATTAAAGTGAAACATGTTTGGTATTACTACAAATAGTGATCAAAGCTCACTCCCTCACTCAATGTGCAATCTGAATGGCAAATTTACGTGGCTTATGTCAACACCGTCCCACTGTTCTCTTGACATGTTTCTGCATCTTTGCCATGCGGTTGCCTGGACCTTTAAAGCGATGCAGTTCGCTGTGCAGAGTTATGTCCCTTGCCAACATGGACACAGACATCATTTGTATCGGCTCGAAGCGCAGAACGATAACCCCTTTACCGTGTATACTAAAACGAGGGAAGCATGTTGACCGTCTGAGAGCAATCGTTATGTATAATCAGAAGAGTGATTGGTATGCTCTCTAATCTCGGCGTTAAAACCTAACTTTAAAGACAATGTAAACTGTTGGGCAAAAGAAAGTATGCTCTTGAAACTGGATTTTAGAAAAAATTACAAACGTTATCAAAGCGTTACTAGGCTGAAAACACTGCAAACTTAAGGTCCAAAACACAACTATATGATACCCGTATCAAATACATCACCATCGAGGGCGGTCGGGTAGCCTAGTGGTTAAAGCGTTCGCTCGTCATGCCGAAGACCCGGGTTCGATTCCCGATATGGGTACATTGTGTGAAGCCCATTTCTGGTGTCTCCCGCCGTGATATTGCTGGAATATTGCTAAAAGCGGCGTAAAATCATACTTACTCATATCAACATACCATATCTTGTTTTGTTGGTTGTGGTTTTTTTCATTTTAGCCACCATCATGTGTGTATACTTTCTTTTTCCCCGGCAGTTTAGTTTAGATAATTGGACCTGTTCGACATTACACTGAACGTCTCTCCTTTTAATGTCATCGCCATGTTGTGTGCTGTGTTGAACAACCCAGCCTCAAACAAAGCAGACCCGTAAAGATCCGGGGTAGCACAGGTCTTCAGCAACCCATGCTTGTCGTAAAAGGCGACTATGCTTGTCGTAAGAGGCGACTAACGGGATCGGGTGGTCAGGCTCGCTGACTTGGTTGATGCATGCCATCGATCCCAAATGCGTGGATCGAGGCTCATGATGTCAATCACTGGATTGTCTGGTCCAGACTCGATTATTAACAGACCGCCGTCATATAGCTGGAATATTGCTGAGTGCGGCGTAAAACAACAAACCAACCAACCAACATCAAACAAAGCAGCTTCTTGTGAGCAAATGAATCGTTCTTGGAACTTGTCCGTTTTTCTCATTTCTTCTCTGGCATTTTTTTAAGAAGACGATATTTTTGGAGGGGGCTCGGGTGGTCCCGTCGGTGCAAATCTTTGTTCAAATATTCAGATGAGTATGACCCATGGTTTGTCAGCACCATACCACCATACGGGTTTCTCTCTTCCATTCAGCTGATAACTGAGCTACTGTTCAAAGCACCGTTAAATACTGATAAATAAATCATATTAAAAGCACACACACACACACACACACACACACACACACACACGCACACGCACACACACACACACACACACACACACACAC